CAGATGGGTTTGCTGTGTATTTACATACACCAAGAAAGAATCTACAAGCTCTCATCTGAATCGCATTAATAAATGAAAAATTCTTGCAGCCCCAAATCGCCACACCATATTCAACAATAGTACTTACAAGTGAATCAAATAGTTTTTTTTATAGACGTCATATGAAATGCCACCAATAGCTTTACACTTAGCTATTACCAGACCTAAAGCTCTGTTTGCTGACTTAGAAACTGCTTTTGCAGTAATACTAAAGTCAAGAAATTCATGTATAACAAGGCCCAGATAAAATTTAGCACCTTCCTTACTTGATAAAAAATGACATTTTTTCTCATAACCGGTAATGATTTTTCCCATTGTAGGAAACAACAAAAAGTTCCTTTGCTCTGTCTTACGTATACCCGCATGGACTCCTTAAGGCGAGCCATGGACCACTTTAAAAACAGAAGGTATCAATGCTTCTGGTATAACAATTTAGTGATGCGACGTCATTCTAGAATGAAAAAGAGTGTCATCAATGAGTGCATAATCGTTTGACTTCAATAGAACACCCCTTCTCATTTTGTAAGTCCGGAAATGTATCATTTTCTAAATAGTCTTTAATTGCAGATAGAAATTTATCTCCCTGGTGTTATTGATTGGGATGAAAAATTGTTGAAAAATTTTGCTGTTTAAAATTTCATTTACATGCAGGTTCGTATCTGACCTTGATGATTTGTGCAATTTGCGCTCTTGTTTAAGTTTAGATTTAATATTTTCGTCTTTTGGCTCATCGGAATTTTCTGATATTCGTGTTTTTGTTGAAACCTAAGTAATCTGGACTGCCTCAAGTTTGTGTTAAAATCCATTTTGAAAATTTTGACCGTTGAGTAATTTAATTTGGCCAATTTCGTCTGGAACGAAAAGGAAACACGGGTCATCTTCGACGGGGTTTTCAACAAATTCTGCTTTGAGATTTTTGCACCTCGACAGTGAGTCTGGAAGTTGCATTTGCTCTGCTTTCTTTTAAACTATTTCAAAATTAATCTGTTGGAGGATAGAAAAACAACGTTCATATACCGAACCCTTAAATTGCCTTTGGTATAGATGTTTAAGTGCTTGGTGGTCATATTCAACAATGAACGGGCTTCCTCTGAGATAATCAGAACAGTCCAATATACTCACAACCATTACCAAGCGTTCTAGTTTGGTGGGTCTATCAGAATGCTGCCAACGACTGAGGTTTTGGACCCAAAATGAATAACCCTCGGTTTAAAATTCGTGTCATTTGGATCAAGTTTGTTCCCTATTCCACGAGAAGATGTATCCCCGCTCAAGAGAAACTACAGATTAAACTCAACATTTCAGAATTTACCAGTCGATTTTTCAATTTATTAAACGCTATGTCTTGCTCCTTTCCAATTTGAATGCTTGATTCTTCTTTAACAGTGTAACGATAGGGCTAATTGTAGCGCTAAAATTCGGAATGAATTTCTTGAACCAGTTGAAAAGACCAACAAGTCTTCTAAGTTCTTTTATAGTAAGAGGAACAGGATACTCCCGAATTGCTTGAATACGATCTGGAGGTGGCAATTTTCCATCTTTCGAAATGATATGACCAAGGAAAACATACGATTGTGCCACAAAAAAAAAAACCCATGACAAGTCAATAGATGTTATATAGTTCGGTGTCATTTCCGAAAAGGATTCAGTAAGCTCCTGCTCCTGATCAGACAAGGTTGATTGATATTTACCTTATTTATATGTTCATGACTACAACTTTTACTACAATCCTTAAAATTAGGTGCAACACAATTATTTACAATGACAATATTTTGTATTACTGGACAACTTTTGCCAATAGGTACATATATATAACTGTATTGTGCATTGAGCGTTGAAAATTCTGCTATAGTTCTGTCTTACGAAATTATAACGCTAGATATGCTATTAAGAAATTTTACAGGAACTTTGTGATTATATGAAACAGTGCCAAGAGATTTAGCTATCATTAAATCCTTTTCTAATACGAACTGATTTGAACAAACACCATTTAAACCAGTCAAAATATAAGCAGGTACATGTCCCCATACAATACTTTCAGAGTTCGACGGCATTGTAAGTGTCGTGTGTGTTTGCATTAAACTGACTAATTAACGGCTCTTGGGCTGATATTGAACCTTTGGCTGGTAATACATGATCTGATATGAAAAATGCCATGTAATAATCTGATAGTTTTGTATTGGTATAAAACGATTGACGTGAATATATGCGATATATACAGTTACTCCATATATAAGTAAACAGAAAAGACCAGACACAGTATTTATCGTAAAAGTCCAAAGATGTCAGCAAATACGTTTGCATCGTAGATTTAAAATATATTAGTAATTAACTTCTAGTAGCATTTCAATGATTTTTATAAGGGTGACAACGTTAGAAGTGGCATATGAAAAAAGTTTATTCATTACCATATATGTAGCTGCGGCCCAGCACCCTCAAAACTAAAAGAAAAAAAAAAGAAAATAAATAGATATGAAAATCCGCTTCTGACTTCATAAGTTGAACCTCGGTAAATATAATATATATATTAAAAGTAAATCAATCATTTACAAATTTATAAATGTTTTCAGATGGTTCCTTCAATTTCCTCGAGATTCAATTGAATAAGTATTTGTGAAGATGAGACAAACACTTTACCATGTTTTCTTTTTTTTGCTGGCACTGAACTATACATCCTATGTAAGTTCTGACGAAGTTTTACGTTATCGTTTGAAGTGAAAATTATAAAATTGATAATCAAAAATTAAAATTCTCTGCTCTATAGATTTTCATGAATGGAGTTATTTGGTCTCTTGGGGAGAGTTGCCTCATTTGCAATCATACCACATCTTCTTATTTTTATATCTAAAATATATTCATAATAAATGCATCGTATCAAATGCATATATGAGAACAAGTTAACTACTTATAAATTGTTACGCTTCGCATGCTATGTGGTGTAAAGATATGCATCATAAATCTAAGATAAAAGACAAATTAAAAGAATAATTCTAAATGCTTTCTTTGGGAAATCTTATACTCTCTTCATTACAACAAGTTTAAATTACATTTGCTAAAAGAGAGCTGAGAAATGTTTGTATTGTGTAAATAACTAAGCGCCTATAAATAAATAATTTTGTATTTGTTTTTTTTTATAAATTAGTGCCTCCGATAATAAAAAGTCGTCATCGAATAGTCTCATTATGCCGATATTCACAAAGACTCGTTCCAATGTCAAAAGGTCAAAATAACACGATAGAGCGTTTTGTTTCAGTATGTTCTAGATAAATTTACAAAAAGCCAATTTTAGACAAGGTACACCAATAAGCCTGGAAATATCGTGGCTAGTCACATATGGTATGTACATTGTTTTAAGACGAAATGTTGAAATATATATAAATTTATCAGTTTAATCATGTTGTTGTGTTGCTGTCACTTTGATATATATAAACTTTAATTTTCCTTATTTTCATATGGATCTGGCAAATTTCAGTTGACAATGATATTCAAGAAAACCAAGCACTGGCAAAAAAACAATAACAATATTTCTTAAAACGCTATGATTTTTGTTAGTGTTTAGCATAACTTTAAGCGAACTTGGCTATATCATGGCGACTATTTTCAATGGTCGAGGAAGCCGGAGTACCCGTAGAGAACTACCGACCATGCAAGAAAACTGAAAATCCTTGACAATTTAAAATATCGAAGTTGAAAACATCTCGCCATTAGCGGGGTTCGAACTCACAACCTCAGGGCTAGTCATCGCTGCAGATAAACTACTAAGACCATTCGGCTACCAAGGCCACTGAAATGCTATGAAGATGCAATTGATATATGATGTATATATTGTATAAAACAAGAAGATGTGGTATTATTGACATTGAGACAACTATCTTCCAAAGACAAACGGACGGAGGCGTAAACACTTATAATAGAACAATTTCAGCCTTCGACAACAACAAAAACAAACAAAAAAACAGACAGAAAAGAGAAAATCGACGACCAGATTTATCCTATAAACAAGAATCAACAATTATAGCAGACAGCAACCAACGACAACCACTTTATTATAGGCTCCTGGAGTCGTTTTCACAAAAAAACTTACGACTAAGATTGCATAATCGTAAATATACTAAATTCTTCATGACTTACGATCAATCTTAGTCGTAAGTTTTTTTTGTAAAACCGACTCCTGGCTTTTGACAGGCACATACAAATGTGGCGGGATTGAACATATTTGTGAGGGTTCAATCATCTACCTAACGTTGTATTTAAGTATGCATGGATAGTAAAATTAGGGATTTTATCAGACTGGACACATTCATCCAAAACAAAGTATAAAGACAAGCTTAGTAGTTTTCAGTTTGTAGTATAAAAGTTGAAAATTGAGTATTAAGTGCATACATTTATGTTTTATCTATATCATGTACCCAAGCGCCTGTGATATTTATATCTATCTATCTATATATATATATATATATATATATATCCTAAATTGAGGTAAATTATATGGCCTTCCAAATACCGTTTCGATTCCTAACATCACTGAAGAGACATTAATTGTCGAAATCCGGATATGGTGTACAAAAATCTTTGCACCTTTTGTTTGCGGTATACCATCTTTTCTGCAAGTTTATTGTTCCGTTTGGTATAAGTTTTCAAATTAAGATCCATTTTTTACACCTGGTGATCCGTTTATTTGGCAACCGCCAATGGCAGTCAGCAGGGTTTAAGAACATTTGTTGTTCGACCTGTTAGTCAAATGCGTTTTGTTAAAATATACTTTTTCACTTTTTTGGTCTTTTGGAAAATGTTGTTTGTGCTGTATTTAGACCCCTCTAACAAGAAATTTCTTTTGCATGCACACGTATAAAAAATGCGGTTTTTATCCAACGCAATCATAGGTTTGAACGTTGTTTTCAATTTAGACTTGTATATATATATATATATTTTTTCATGTTTGACCTTAAATAACTAGCTAAGAATGAACACATATTTTATTATTAAAATAAGCACATTGTATAAATAAAGGTTTCTTGTTTTTACGTCGTACACAGTTTATTGCACAGAACTGTATTTATAAACTTTATCGTTTCACAAAATGTCATTAAGCAACAATAGCGTCTTATCTATCCGTAAATACGTCCTTGACTCCTTTCATTCTTACTTTTATCCCCGATTCCTTGCTGACTTAAACATCGAAGTAGCTTATCAAAACGATTTTCTCTAACGATCTTTCTGGATATTGAGCGTCGTTTGTGGTACTCTTTTCTCTAACGATCTTCCTGGATATTGAGCGTCATATGTAGTACTCGTTTCTTTAACGATCTTCCTGGATATGGAGTGTCGTCTGTGGTACTCTTTTCTCTAACGATCTTCCTGAATATTGAGCGTCGTTTGTGGTACTGTTTGAGTTGGTAGTCGTCTTGGTTTGTACACTATTACTGCCAAAGCTATGTACAAGGCAAGTAAAGACAAAAGTACTCCGATCGAAAGACCTGAAAAAATTAAAACAGAAACATTAGAAGCTCCGATTAGATAAACTATATAAAAAAAAGGCATCGACTGATATGTTAACTGAAAACCTAGAAAAAAAACAGCTACGAGTTATCTATACTGAAAGACCTTTAAAAAAACGCAGATGTAATTCAACTGGAAGGCTCCTCAAATGACCAAAGTATTCAGACTGAAAGTCCTAGTATAAAAGACATGAATTTACAAAGTAAAAAAAAAAATAAAAGATAAGAATACTCCTAATAAAAGAATTACAAAATATCATACTTAATGATTTGTTAAAATCAGGAGAAAACATATTTTAGTTATCAGAATCGTCTTTCTGGTAGCTAAAATTATTTTCAAACCGACTAATCTTATAAAAAAAACTAATTTTTTTATTTAACCACAACAATACTATTTTTTTATTGACATACAATAGATTTACATAAATACTAGTATATCATCAAATAAGTTGACCATATAGCTCTTCTACAAAAATAAGATATTCGTTGAAGAAAATGTATAAGATATATCCTCGTTTACAATGGTATTTTTGAATGAATCACCTATTCTGGTCTTGTTGAAGTACTGTGGAAGATGCTGGCTTCAGTTCATTTCAGAGTTCATAGAATTAAACTATAACTTTGGTGCATTAGTCAGTAGGTAGACAAATTTTTATATACTATACTTTACTATACACAATTAACGTACTACATCTTCAAGTGACCATATATAGTAGTTTCACAATGTATTGTTTTTGATACAAATTTGCAGAAATCTAGAATATTTTAAGCATAACCATGAAATTAATGCAGAGTCTACAGAAACAATTTCATTTTAGCTGCAACGATGGAGATTTCGACCACAAAAGTCTAAAATCAAAAGTGACAGTCTGAGATAAGTCAATTTCATATTGGTCATTTAAGAAGAATTCGAAGTCATTTTCGTTGTTTTCAAGTGAAGATACAAAATATATATTGAATACATTTTTGTTGTTGTTTGTTTTTGGGTTAAACATGTGTTGTTTGAGATGTCAAAAATTAAAATTAAGAAAATACTCATTTTCACAGAATTTTGTTTTGAAAAATTGTGTCAAAATTTTGACTCACTTCAATAGTTTGAAAAAAGTTTTAAGCAATAGAAATTTTGACTCCAAAGAAATTAATGGAGGTGGTGCGTTAAATTTTTGTTGTTGTTGAGTATATATCAACCTTTCTGTGTGTTGTGATATACATACTTCAATATAAAAATAAATTTAATGTTTGTTCTACGTCCAGTGGCAAATATTTCATGGATGTTCAAGACGAATAAAAATAAGAAGATGTGTTATGATTGTCAATGAGACAACTCTCCTCCAGTGACACATGACGTGGATATAATACAACTATAGGTCACCGTACGGTCTCCAACCAGACTGTATAATAAGCCGTAAAAGGTCCCGACATGACAAGGTATATTGAAAAATTTTAAACCCAAAAAAACAACAGCCTGATTTATGTAAAAACGACAAACGAAACACACATGATAGATGACAACCACTAAATTACATGCTCCTTCTTTAACAGGCACATACAGAAGGCTGCGGGTTAAACATGTTTGTGAGTGTTCAACCACTCCCCCTCCCCCCAAAAAATAGCCCTTTACATGGGTGTAAAAACACAAATAAGAACAGATCGTAAAAATCATTTGGAGAGGACTTGACTCATCAGATCGACATGAAGCTCCACCAATAGCACAAAATATCATAATCGATCTTAGAGTACTCGCAGTTATAAAACAGTAGTCTAAGAAGGTAAAGCCAATTACAACTATTAATCATGTTTTCCCAGATTAAAATATATATCAAATGTGTGTAAAGGTTCACCTGTGTAAAGACGTCAGAAGGTCTTAGAAAAACACAACCTTGTGTTATGCCAAAATATAAGTATTGATAAAATGTATGACCATAACTAGTGTTCATAACTTTATATCTATACATATTTATTGATGTTTTAATTCATTAATAAAAAAATCAATATAAGTAACAATAAAGACAATGTTCAAAGATCATCTTATTCAATGTTAAATTGGTAACCTTTTAGAATAAGTTTATTCAAATGTTCTATAAGTTTACATGGACCGTATCTAAACTTACGAGCTCTATAAACAACACCATAAAAATTAGGATGTGATATGCCGTTGATAACAAGGTTTTAATAGGTACAACCAAAACCCTAAATCAAATTTCTTTATCCACGAAAGAATTTAGTAAAGGTCTTAAGCAACATGTGGCAACGAAATCCCTAACCTGACAACCTTCCACTGCTACACGTAGATTACAATCATCGGTGAAATCTAAAACGACACTACAGACACGAAAACAGCAAACGAGCCGGACATTGTTTAAATATTGCACCTGTTTGTTCTTTTATTTATTTTAGCCATTCATGGCACTAGCATTATGATGCTTAGTGTTTTTATAGATTGGTGTATGCTTACTGTGACGCTTGATAGCAACATTTACATAAATAATACAGGAAGTCGATAACATACGAGGCAATGTTATAAAGATAACCATGATAACCCACATACTTTGTATCAATTGACTTACTTGACACGCCGGTTTAGATTTTTAGTATACTACTGATCTTATGACAAAATGGTTCACTGCCAGATATTATACTCGAACACATTATTCTCACGATCAGTCTTTGCTCTTAGTCATCTTGCAAATGATGTTTGCTTAGCTGAGAAGCAACAGTTTAATACCAATTTGAAAGTCATATATTATATTGACCCGACCGGCGATATCGAATCCATGACCTAGCTTTAGCTCTGGAGGTGAGCTCATTTCCCAAATTTCTTTGATATGTGATAGCCTTTTTTTTGGCGAACGTTTATATCTGATGATAAGCTGGAAAGCTGCATACCACTAAGTGTAGGCTGTGTATATTGCAATCCAACTTTGAAAAAATAATGATTGTTTACAATTTCCTGCGTATTTTATATTCATATGCAAATAATCATGTCAATGTGTCAATAAAACTTACCAAGTTGTTGATTCTTTAAAACACTAATCTGATTTCCTAATTCAGACATTTGTATTTATATAATCTCTCTTTTAGTCGGGTGACGCCCCCTTCCTGCGGAACATATCTGACTTTATTAATACACGCTTATTCACGAAGAAAACGTAAACAAACGTGGAGATGGCAGAGCAAGAAATTGGCAAGAAAGGAAAAACGTTAGTCATTAACTTGCATGTCACATTTATCGGCATTTTTTTTACAAAAACAAAAAGACGAACAAAAGTCCACAAAACGATACACAAAAAACTAAAGATTTTGAAACACTTAATAAACCATAATTGCATAAAAAAACAACCCCCCAAAACATGGTGGATGCAGGTGCTCCAGCCTCCAGTCAACAGGTCCTAACTTCCTAATATATGTTAATGATTGCATGTTTAAAGGTGAGACTATTAAGATGGGTTGTTCAAAGAACATAAAATCAGTCCTTATCAGTGTCATGATCATCTGACAATGTCTGATATTAATCAGTATTCAGGTTAATTTAAGGTTCATCATAACAAATGGACAAAAATGGCTGTTTTTATACCTCAAAAACTACTCTGTGTACCGACTTACCTGTCCAGTTTGGAAAGTTTTAAGGCCTGGCATCCACTAGATATACAAAAGTTAAATGCATTTTTTGTTTCAGAAAGATATAATCACTTCTGGATTTTGATGGGCATTTTTTTTCCTTTCTTCAGAAGGTGTAAAAATAAACAAACACCTGAATTGCTTTGATACTGTCCACTCAGTTAAACCCTTTAACTCACCTATAGTTGTGTAGATACCTATTGTCTGTCTTTTTTCCGTGTCAATCAAGGACAATCAATACAAAACAATGTAGTTTTACCTGAGAGGGAGCATCTCAAAGTTTTATCCCAACTTAGTTTATTTTTACACCTTCTGCAGAAAGGAAAAAAATGGCCATCAAAATCCAAAAAAGATTTTATCTCTCTGAAACCCAAAATGCATTTAACTTATATATATCTAGTGGATGCCAGGCATTAAAACTTTTCCAACTGGACAGGTAAGTCTGTACTCAGAGTAGTTTTTGAGGTGGAAATACAATCATTTTTGTCCATTTGTTATGATGAACCTTAAGTTAAAATTTTCACTTTTTTGCTTAAAACAATAAACAAAATTGAATAACTGTAAACTCTAACCAGAGCATTTTCTACAATAACATTTATTTGTTGTATTGCCATTATATTGCTATTTAACAGTATAAGGTATATTTGACCAATTTAGACAAGAATTAATACGTAATATTTTGTTGTCGTTAAAAAGTACATTTTCAATGCCTCTTTCTAGAAATAATTAAGTTGCACTACAATGAAAACATACTACACCTTTCTTTGAAGATTCTTCATTCCATCAATATCAAAATGATTAAATTCAAAAATGTTTATAAAAAATAGGTATAGAAATCACTCAAATCAGTGCACCTTCTGTCATGTCTATCAAAAGAATTGTGCCTCAATTTTGAGAAATTTTCCATCTTTCCGCCCAAAATCACTTATTCCAAGTTCTGATTGCTGTCTTGAAATGTTTTACAGGAGTTGATATATACATTGTAATGAAAAAATTATGGAAAAACCGAAAAATTGGACATCTAATTAAGAGAGCAAAAATGGAATTCAAACAAAAAAATATATATATATTTAGGGTAACACAGCTAGCTACATTTGTTGTACAATTAATTGTCACATAACAAATATTTTGGCTGATAAGCTTTTAATATGATGCAGGTGCTATATGATGAGCTCTTTTTGGTGCATGTTTGTTTTATTTATCATCATACTATTGCATAATCATATTTACAAATTTATGGGAAATACATGTAGTATGCTCCTCAGAAGCAAATTAGTGGGAAATTGTATGCTGCTTTTAAATATATGATGTTTAAGGAAATCCCAGAAAAGGAACAAAACAGAAAGGGTTTTAATCGACTGCCATCTTGTTGAAGGTCTTTCAGCATGTGAGTCGTATGACCCAAATCTACCCATCTCCCATTTTTGCTCCCTTTGGAGTATGGTAGGGGCTTATCCTGCTCACTTTAGAGTCCCACTTCCTGTCATCTGATATGATTAATAGATAAACAGTTATATTTTGATTTCTGGTATATCTTCTTTCTACATGTTCTAGATAAAATATTTTGTTATTTATACAATGAAAATGTTACCTGAAAATTGAAGAACAAATTCCTTTGTTTGTATTTATCATGATTTATAATGAAGTCATTTACGACAAATGCAGAATAGCATTAACAAGATTAGAAATCCTTTCAACAGAAATGTGAGGAATTCTTATTTTTTGCGAACTTGGTTATATACAGTATAATACATGTATGTATTGTCCAGGTTTGAAACAAGAAACCAAAAGATTGAAGGTGTATGTTGAGGTGTTCTTCTAACCTGAAAGCTAGAATCGGAATTTCTGAAGTATATGATAAACATAAATAGTGCCTGTGGATAACAACCTAGATGATATGGAAAAGGCCATGTATTAATCTGTTTGTAACTTAAGCTGTACTCTGATATTATGTAGTAACCCAAATATTCTTCATGGAGGGCATGTGGGAAGCTTCACTAATTTATATAAATGCTATATCATGTATATGAAGTCATCTGTTTTTCCACAACTCAAAAGGATTACCGTACAGTGATCACCTTATAATTCCATAACCTGACATTTATTAAAACCAGGAGGTACACCGCAAAACATTTGCACAATGTCACAAATGCTCTATAACTGTTAGAATATATTAGGAGTGTACACTTCAAACATTAGCACGCATTGGACTTTATTAACACAGATTAGTTTTTGCATATTAGTCCTGCACTAGTATTAGCCTATACCTGATCCATGCTCAATTTAGTCAAAAATGCTTTATTAGCTGTTCACTATTTTGTAGGTATGGTCTATTGTTGCCAAAGAAAGGACAAAACAAGGTCAAGGTTAAAAGTGTATTTGGTGATGACAGTGATAATGTGAGTAATATTTTGATGTCAATGCATAATTGTTTTATTAAAAGGACACACTGCTATACGAGCCTTACTTGGCTGATTTATATTTACTACAGGCATATGATCTTTTAATATTTTATAATTTTTTGCATTTTGTATATATTTGTATTGTGCATATGCCTTCAACCCCTCCAGGTATAAATGTGCATTTCTTTAATAAATTATACCTTTACTACATTTATTATGAAGTCTTGCACTTAATAAAACCAACAAGACAATTTACATAAGGTTTGTTTTTATACCACCGCAAAAAAATTTTGCGGTCGTATATTGGTATGACATTGGCATCGTCGTCCGAAGACACATTGGTTTTCGCACTCTAACTTTAGTTTAAGTGAATGGATCTCTATGAAATTTTACCATAAGGTTCAATACCACAAAAGGAAGGTTGGGATTGATTTTGGGGGTTATGGTACCAACAGTTAAGGAATTAGGGGCCAAAAATTAGCATTTTTGTAACTTCCAGACATAGCTTGTGTGTTAGTGTATGGATCTCTCTGACATTGTACCACATGGTTCCATATCACAAAGGGAATGCTGGGATTGATTTTGGGGGTAATTGCCTCAAAATTTTAGGAATTAGGGGCCAAAAAGGGGCAAAAAACAAGCATTTTTCTAGTTTAAGGACAATAACTTGTGTGTAAGTGTATGGATCTTTCTGAAATTGTACTTCAAGGTCCCATATCACAAAGGGAAAGCTGGAATTGAGTTTGGGGGTAATTGCCCAAAACGTTTAGGAATAAGGGGCCAAAAATAAGCGTTTTTCTAGTTTCCAGACAATTACTTGTGTTCAAGTGTATGGATCTCTCTGAAATTGTACTGCAAGGTACCATACCACAAAGGGAAGGCTGGGATTGCAAAATTTTAGGAATTAGGGGCCAAAAAGGGGCAAAAAACAAGCATTTTTCTAGTTTCAGGACAATAACTTGTGTGTAAGTTTATGGATATTTATGAAATTGTACTACAAGGTTCCATATCACAAAGGGAAAGCTTGGTTTGAGTTTGGCTGTTTAAGGTCTAGTGGCAAACATGACATGCATTTTTGGGTCAAGAACATATATGATATGAATATGAACCCTATTTGGCCTGTATAACTTTTTTATGCCCCCGCCGTAGCGTAGGGCGCGTTAAGTGTTACCCTTGTCCGTTTGTACGTACGTCCAAAAGTTAGTTTCTGTACTTTAACTTTAGTTAGCCTCAACCAAATGTTATGAAACTTATACACAATGCTTATTACCACAAAACACAGATCAAGTTTGAATTTTGGTGGCGTCACTTTAACAGTTTAGAGTTATGCCCCTTTACAAATGAAAAAATTGCTGAATTTTTCATTTTCATTCTTTAACTTTAGTTTGCCTCAACCAAATGTTATGAAACTTATACACAATGCTTATTACCACAAAATACAGATCAAGTTTGAAATTTGGTGGCATCACTTTAACCGTTCTAGAGTTATGCCCCTTTACAAATGGAAAAATTGCTGAATTTTTCGTTTCTGTTCTCTAACTTAAGTTAGCCTCAACCAAATGTTATGAAACTCATACACAATGCTTATTACCACAAAATACAGATCAAGTTTGAATTTTGGTGGTGTCACTTTAAGCGTTCTAGAGTTATGCCCCTTTACAAATGGAAAATTTCTGAATTTTTCATTTTCATTCTTTAACTTTAGTTTGCCTCAACCAAATGTTATGAAACTTATACACAATGCTTATTACCACAAAATACAGATCAAGTTTGAAATTTGGTGGCATCACTTTAACCGTTCTAGAGTTATGCCCCTTTACAAATGGAAAAATTGCTGAATTTTTCGTTTCTGTTCTCTAACTTAAGTTAGCCTCAACCAAATGTTATGAAACTCATACACAATGCTTATTACCACAAAATACAGATCAAGTTTGAATTTTGGTGGTGTCACTTTAAGCGTTCTAGAGTTATGTCCCTTTACAAATGGAAAATTGCTGAATTCTTTGTTTCCGTTCTCTAACTTAAGTTTTCCTCAACCATGTTTTATGAAACTTATACACAACACTTATTAATTTATTACCACAAAATTCAGATCAAGTACAAATTTGGGTAGCGTCACTTTTACCGTTCTACAGTTATGTCCCTTTATAACTTTATATGATATGCAAGCGAGGGCATCATCTGTGTCCCATGGACACATTCCCCATTTATTTATTCAATCGTCACTGATAAGTCTTTCGTAGGCGAAACGCACGTCTTGCTTTTTAAATTTTAATCCTGGTACCTATGATGAATTTATTTGTAATAGACTGAAATGCTGAGTTATATTATAATGTGTTAGTTCACAAGGTATCAGTCTGCAGGAAGAAAATTCTTTTTACAGGCACCTTATTCTTACTTTGAACCAAGCTGTCTTTGCTTTTACTCCTAAGTGCTGCATGCTTAGCATAGAAGCAATAAATACCAATTTTAAAGTATTTGGTTTGACTAGGCTGTGTAATGAACCAACAACCAGGAACTTATGACACTGTCAGAACTAGCACTCATTGAAATAAAAAAGTTGGACAATGTAACATTGCAAAATCAATATTGATCTTACATTTTTTTTCAGGAGAGTGCACATGATGCTATCAACACTTCAATAAAACAAGAAGCACAGAAATCTAAGATTAAAAGACAGGTTAGTATTTATCTGATGAAGTATATCTTTCTGTAAGTTGAGCACTGGCTCTGCATGCTCTGACAATGTAAAATACTTTTAAATATAAGTTAATCAAATAAAAAATGATCTAATTTTAAGTTTAGAAAAAAATATTTGTAGATTACTTGTACCTTCTTTCGTAATTTGAAGCGTCCAAATAATGTTTTAAAAATCTGAATTAGATAGAGTATTAAAGATATAACCTTGGTTTTGACTTGGGCCAGTTGTATCCCGAAAGATTTTGAATAGTCAAACAGAAATTTATATACAATAACTTTTTTAGTGATTAGTTCTGACCAGCCAAAAAAAAAAAAAAAAAATGATATGCCAAAATATGTCTTTTGGACAAAATATGATGTAAAAGATATCAGCCAGTTTTGCTGCTGTTTGTGATTATGAAAGGATCAACATTTTTCATATCATCTTTTTAAAAGTTTACAGACTGAAACAGATAACAGATGTTCGGTCCATTTCTATACATTTAAAATATTTTCTATACATATTTATAATTGCTAACATTTAAAAACCCCCCAGTTAAAAAATAATAAGCCAAAATATATTTATTGTTTACAAAGGGAGCTTACTCATCTTTATACATGTATTTTTTCAGACACAACTAGAAATAGACAGGGCTCTAGAAGCTGATCCTACAGTATATGAATATGATAGTATATATGATTCTATGCAGGAGAAGAAGGCTCAGCAGGCAGCAGCAATCAGTAGTGATAAATCAAATGTTGAGAAAAAGGTATGGATCACTGTTCAACATCAACATCTAAAATATATGTGTTAATAGTTATATATTGAATTAATAAATGTTATGTTTCAAAATCCGAAAGTGATTTTATTTGGATTTTACATGTTTACTTTTTCGTTTTGAATTACTTAAAACTTGTAGCAAAATCATCAACAGAAACAGTTACTTAGTCCTATAATATAAGCCTTTGTAAGTTCATATCGTTTGCTTTCAACGTTTTTGTTGGATTTTTTTTTTTAACTATAAATGCTTAAAAAAAAATATCCGATAAAAAACGTTGAAAGCAAATGATATGGACCTAGGGAGGCTTATATTATAGGACTAACAGTTGCTATGATTAATTTATTGACAAAAGGTCCAACACAGATACACATATCATACAAACAATTTTAAACAAGAGAGGACATTGTTTTATTTCAGATAACATTCATAAAACATGCATTTGCACATGAATCACACCAAGGACTCATCTTCACATAACTTGTATTTATAAACCAATTTAGAGTTCATAGCCATCTGGTTTGACTGTTAGCCATGAGACCTGAAAAGGACATTGCAGGGACTAAACTTAACAGTTGCCCAAGGCTACCAGATTTTCGGCTGGGCAAATATATTTTATCATCCTATAAACAAAAACTGTTCCCAAATGGAAACCTAATTGTCTAATCAAAGCGGGAAAATTAAAAAGAGAAAATTTCTGGAAACCAGTAAGTTCATTTTAAGAACCAAAACCTGGTCAGACAACTAAGTTTTCGATGCAAAGTCACGATTTGAAATATACCCCTTCTCTGAACACGTGTTCTAATCTCTCTTTTAAAGCTTCTACTATTATTTCACTATTGTTTAGTGTTTTCGTCTAAACTGTTGAATATGCATTGCTTCAGAGATGCATTCCAGTTGTCCAGGGAGTCATGACAAGCCTGTATTTGATGATAACTTGTCCATGCATCGTGATTTACAAAATCTTCAATGAAAAAACGAAATCTGGTAACGAAATTTTAAAATTTTTAGTTGCTATCTAATCTTCAAAAAAAATTATTTGAATAATATTTTTGATCAACACTTTTAAAGGATGGCTTGGATTTGAAATAGCATTTAATGATTCATAGAAACATCCATATTGTCAAAATGTCAACAGGAAGTTCAAATTGAAGGGAGACAGTTTTGGTGGGAAATGTACTTAAATCAGTATTGTTTTAAATCAATGATATATTTCTGGTGGCAATAATTCAAATATTATAAAGTTATCACACATAATCTTTTCCGGGCTCATAAGCTACGTATAGGTTTACATTAAAAGGCTTTAGTTGGATATAAAAGTACATATAAGCTTTATTTTATTAGTATGAAAATTTGTTGGACTCCTAAAATTTCAACTGGGCCCTGAAAAAAATAATTTTGGGGCCCAGCTGGCCACTGGAGAAAAAGAGTTAAGTTTAGTCCCTGGACATTATATCAACTATAGTTCAATTCCAATTTCACAATAATCAATTTGATAATTCTTACAAAATCCATTCAATAATATCATAAAAATAATGCACCAAAACATCCTTTTGTTTACAAAGGGAGGTTACTCATCCTTATAACATGACATTTTTCAGACTTATTCTTGTATCTTTTTTTTTATGATAAATGATAATTTCCAAATAATTATTTAGTTATCTTCTTTTATAAAAGGCCAAATACATTGGTGGATTATTAAAAGCATCAGAAGTAAGAAAAAGGGAGTTTGAAAGACAACAGGAAAGAAAAGTACAGAAGGAAAGAGAGACAGAAGGGGATGAATTTGCAGAAAAAGAAGTGTTTGTGACGGGTGCCTATCGTAAAAAGATGCAAGAAATGCAGGAAGCTGAGGAAGAAGAAAGACGGCAGTCTCAACTTGAAGGTTTTACATTTAAACTTATTTTGAAAGTTTGACACATGCTGAAGTACAATTGATTAATAATTTTTAATAAGTTAATCACAATTCAAACTTGCTGTTGGAACTAACTTGAAAACAGAGGTGTCCTACATGTTTATTGAAGGTTCCTCTGCAATATAATCTTGTGCTAAAACAGTGTAAAGCAAACATTAGTTTATCTATTGATGACTGAATATAAATATATATTAATTGATTTAATAAATAAAGAATAACTAATCACAAGTACAGTGACTGAACAACACAATAAATCACAATGTGAATTATAGCAGTTGTTTGGTCACAAGTTGAAGATTTTTGGATACATCAATTCTTGGATTCATTATTCCAGTTATTACATTGACATTTAATGTAAATAAATTAGAAAATGCAAAAAACTATAGAGCTTTTTTTACTCTTTCTCACATTATATTAATGCAACAACATTGACAATGTCTTGACATTACCTATTGTTAATGACCTCAGCTGAATGAAATTACAGGATATCTGTCTTATGAGAAATTATTGATTTTTATTTGATTAAGAAATCATGGTATTTCATTGCAACCAATGTCATATTAGTTTATATTCATGACACATGCAGGCAATATGGGGTTGTAATTTCACTTCTGCTCTTTAGGAGTTACAGCCATTAATTGAAATAAAAAGCCCTTTTGCTGTATTTTTGACATCCTTTTTTTTTATACGCCCGTTTACTGGACGTATTATGGTATACCGCTGACCGTCTGTCCGTCCGTCCGTCGTCAACATGTCGGACATTAATTCAAAAATGCTTTAACCAATATGCATGAAACTTTGGTGAATTGTTTATATCTATTGACGTGAGCTCCCTTTTGTTTTTTAAAAATTTCAGATTTACCATTTCCGAGTTTTGGGGTTTTATTCATTAAAAAAGGGGGGATTTTCCTGTTTTCGAACAATAACTCAAAAATAATTTCACCAATTTGCATGAAACTTTTGTGAATTGTTCATATCTATTGACGTGAACTTCCTTTCGTTTTATATAAATTTCGGATTTACCGTTTCCAAGTTTTGGGGTTTTATTCATTAAAAAAGGGTGGATTTTCCAGTTTTCGGACAATAACTCAAAAAAAAAATTCACCAATTTGCATGAAACTTTTGTGAATTGTTCATATCTATTGACGTGAGCCTCCTTTCGTTTTTTATAAATTTCGGATTTACCGTTTCCGAGTTTTGGGTTTTATTCATTAAAAAAGGGGGATTTTCCAGTTTTCAGACAATAACTCAAAAACAATTTCACCAATTTGCAAGAAACTTTGGTGAATTGTTTATTTCTATCGACATGAGCTCTCTTTTGATTTTTTTAATTTCAGAATCTATATTTATGGGGTTTTATTCATTACAAAAAGGGGGATTTTCCAGTTTTCGGACAATAACTCAAAAATGCTTTCAGCATTTTTTATTAGACTTTGGTAAATTGTTTATATCTATTTTTGTAAGCTCCCTTTTGATTTTTATAAATTTTCTATATTACATTTCAGAGTTATAAGATTTTATTTGTTTATAGTCTGACAACAGATTTACTAAGTATTGCGCAACAGCACAATGTATTGCACAACAGCAAGAAATCTTTCATATAACCAATTTCAAGTTCTTTGACTACATTTATTCAGAAACCTATAATATATCAAATATTTAATTACAATCCAAATTCAGACCTGTATCAAGCTTGAATATTGTGTCCATTTTTGCCCCAACTGTTCAGGGTTGAACCTCTGCGGGCGTATCCAGCTGCGCTCAGCGAAGCAGTTTATTATCAAATGAATTTCAATATTCATGGTTGGGGAAAACGATTGATTCACATGTAATTTCAGACTTCACACAAAGCATATCAAAGAAAAATACAAGTTTCTGTGGTAATTAAAACATATGGTTTAGATTTAATATAGTGATAAAATCCACAAAAATTAGTACATTTTGTACTACACAAATAGTATTATACAAATAAAATGGTACATGCATTCTCAGTGATAAGATTTTGTGTAAAATCTGATCAAATTTATACAATTTGAATTTATTTGTAGCCATGTTAGATGTCAAGAAGCAAAAGGATATGACTGGTTTCTATAGATACCTGCTGAATGAGAAAACTGGGGAAAATATCAAAACAGAAAATGAGAAGCCTGAGGTGTCTGTAAAAACAGAAGAAGAAAAAACCTCAGAAAAACCTGAAGACAGCGAAAATACAGATAATAGTTTACCAAAGTATGTTAGAAATTTGTATCAAGCTTTGGTTCACTGGGCATTTAATCTGTTTTTATACGACCGCAAAAAAAATTTTGTGGTCGTATATAGGTATGACGTTGGCGTCGACGTCGTCGTCCTCCGGCGTCGTCCGAAGACACATTGGTTTTCGCACTCTAACTTTAGTTTAAGTGAATGGATCTCTATGAAATTTTATCACAAGGTTCAATACCACAAAAGGAAGGTTGGGATTGATTTTGGGGGTTATGGTACCAACAGTAAAAGAATTAGGGGCCAAAAATAAGCATTTTTAGGCAGTTAAGCTGCCTTATGCGAGCACCCTAGATTTGTGTTCTACCCAATAAATGCTGAAATACGTGCCATTGTTATTATCTAGCTGGCTATTATGTTATTTATTACTAATTGGACATTTTATTAATACTTTTATTTCTGGAATACAAAAAATATGACCAGAAAAACCTTAAATGATCGTCGAACTACCCAAAACTTTTGAAGTTGCACATAGGAAGTAGTGCTCAAGAGAAATCCGTAGGTAGTTTATTATCCCCTGTGCTTTTGGCTACGATGTCAAAGAACAATTGTATGAAATATTTCATCGCCGAAAATCGGTAATTACAAGTCGTTGATATTTCCCAAATGGCAAAATACGCAGGAATATTGTTCATGTACAACAAATCTCTATGATAGAGGAAATAAAGTTATATAAGTGGGCGGTAATTTTTAACTTATCTTGCCAAATAAGGTTGTTGTTATTTTATGAATGAAACGAGGTCATGAAACAGATGCGGAAATCGACGTTGATGGGATGTTTTAAGTAATGTGGATAACTCGTCCCCGAGACAAGTCCACTCAACCCGTCTAAGAAGACAAATTTGACCGTTTGTCAGATTTACTTAGGGTTTCATGAAATATTAGACTAACATGTCTAGCGGAGCCATTATTCTTTTATTTGTGCATTGGGGTCTATTTCGGGGTATTTGGAGGGGCCTGAAGAAGGGAGGGGTTTACTATAGAACCTATGGGATTTTATTTTTTTAAATTTTCAAATGACTATTTCTCGAAAACAGTAAGTGATAGACACATGCAGTCTTCAGTAATGAGAACAGGACAATGAAAAAAATCAACCAAAATATAGAGTGAGTCCCTGGGGGTCATACCAACCCCCTTCAATTTGAAAATGTACTTTTATCATGTAAACCGTCGCGATCCCCACACCTAAACAATATATATACTTGTATGGGACAATATAAGAAATCAAATGAAAATAATTTGGGGGAGTCCCCGGTGTCGTTCCACCCCCTCCTGATTGAGAACTTGGAAATGGTCGAGATCCCCACCCCTAAACCATATATATTCATGTATGGGACAATAAAACAAATCAAATGAAATATAGGGGGAGTCACTGGGGTCACCCCACCCCCTCCTGTTTTAGAACTTGTAAACGGTCGAGATATCTACCCCTAAACCATATACATTCATGTATGGGACAATAAAACAAATCAAATGAAATATAGGGGGAGTCCCTGGGGACACCCACCCCCTCCTGTTTGAGAACTTGTAAACAGTCAAGATCCCCACCCCTAAACCATATATGTTCATGTATGGGACAATATAACAAATCAAATGAAATATAGGGAGCGTCCATGGGGTCACCCCAAACCCCCCTGTTTGAGAACTTGTAAACGGTCGAGATCCCTACCCCTAAACCATATACATTCATGTATGGGACAATAAAACAAATTAAATGAAATATAGGGGCAGTCCCTGGGGACACCCACCCCCTCCTGTTTGAGAACTTGTAAACAGTCAAGATCCCCACCCCTAAACCATATATATTCATGTATGGGACAATATAACAAATAAAATGAAATATAGGGGGAGTCCCTGGGGTCACCCCACCCCCTCCTGTTTGAGAACTTGTAAACGGTCGAGATACCCACCCCTAAACCATATTTATTCCTGTTCATCATTTCAAAAAGATTTGAATGACATACAGGGTCAATCTCCTAGGTGTCACATATGCATATCACTTTACTAGACCAAACCAATATGAACTGGACTTTGCCCAATGTCAGGAGACCATGGGAATGGCGAATTATGGGGCTTTGTTTGGGAGACTTCGCAACGGCATCCTGTTACAATTATTTCTTGTTTATTATAAAATTTTATTGATGCAAGAAATGAGTCTAGGTTAATTGAATTTACTTTAATTATTTATTAAATTATTTCTGGGCCTATAATAATTTTCATTTATGGCTCATTTAAAAAAAAACAACATATAAATCTTTCAATCTTTTGGGGGTGAAGATGGGGGTCATTTACATTGATATATGAGTTGCTTTTGAAAACCTTGATGAAATATTAATTAATTTGCCTTAATAGTCAATTCATTTAATGAACATAAATGTACAATATACGAATGTTTAATGTTTGTTCTTTCAAATTAAAAAAAAAAATTGAAGCAACACTGCCACAGTTTTCATTATTACGTTTGCCTTGGTTTTTTGGTTAACTGCCTACAGCGCTTACAGTGCTTTGATTGTTACTTCCAGACATAACTTGTGTGTTAGTGTATGGATCACAAGGTTCCATATCACAAAAGGAATGCTGGGATTGATTTTGGGGGTAATTGCCTCAAAATTTTAGGAATTAGGGGCCAAAAAAGGGGCAAAAAACAAGCATTTTTCTAGTTTCATGACAATAACTTGTGTGTAAGTGTATAGATCTTTCTGAAATTGTACTACAAGGTTCCATATCACAAAGGGAAAGCTGGGTTTGAGTTTGGGGGTAATTGCCAAAACGTTTAGGAATTGGGGGCCAAAAAGGGGCCAAAAATAAGCATTTTTCTAGTTTCCAGACAATAACTTGTGTTCAGGTGTATGGATCTCTCTGAAATTGTACTACAAGGTACCATTCCACAAAGGGAAGGCTGGGATTGAGTTTGGGGGTGATGAATCATAAGGGGGTTCAAAAAATTTGGGGGGGGGGGGGTTTTCCTTTTTTTTTTCTTTTAAAATTTTCCATTTTAAGTTGGTTATTTCTGATTTATATTTAAAAGCAAATAATAATGATATTTTAGGAGATACACACCAAACAGGATGTGTAAATTATTATATAATAAGTATTGTGCAATAGCAAGAAATTTTCAATTGCACAGTATTGCACAATAGCAAGAAATCTTCAATTGCACAGTATTGGGCAATAGCAAGAAATTTTCAATTGCACAGTATTGCGCAATAGCAAGAAATATCCAATAGCACAATATTGCGCAATAGCAAGAAATTGTCAATTGTACAGTATTGCGCAATAGCAAGAAATATTTAATTGCACAGTATTGTGCAAAAGAAGATACTTCGTATAAATTGCTTATTTCTTGACCAATTTCAATGGGGTTTTATTCTTGAATTCTTGGGGTTCTTTAATATTCTGAATCTAACCGTGTATTTAGTTTTTAGATTTTGGGCCCCGTTTTTAAATTGGTCCACATTAGGTCCAAAGGGTCCAAAATTAAACTTTGTTTGATTTCATCAAAAATTGAATTATTGGGGTTCTTTGATATGCAGAATCTAACCATGTATTTAGATTCTTAATTTTTGGTTCCGTTTTCAAATTGGTCTACATTAAGGTCCAAAGGGTCCAAAATTAAACTTAGTTTGATTTTAACAAAAATTGAATTCTTAGGGTTCTTTGATATGCTGAATCTAACCATGTATTTAGATTTTTGATTATGGGCCCAGTTTTCAAGTTGGTCCAAATCGGGGTCCAAAATTAAACTTTGTTTGATTTCAACAAAAATTGAATATATGGGGTTCTTTGATATGCTGAATCTAACCATGTATTTAGATTTTTGATTTTTGGGCCCCGTTATCAACTTTGTCCACATTGAGGTCAAAAGGGTCCAAAATTAAACTTTGTTTGATTTCATCAAAAATTGAATTCTTGGGGTTCTTTGATATGCTGAATCTAACCATGTATTTAGATTTTGGATATTGGACCATAATAGGTGAATGTCCAATTTAAAATTTTTAAGTTCTTAGACCACATTCATTCTGTGTCAGAAACCTATGCTGTGTCAAATATTTAATCACAATCCAAATGCAAAGCTGTATCAAGCTTGAATGTTGTGTCCATACTTGCCCCAACTGTTCAGGGTTTCGACCTCTGCGGTCGTATCAAGCTGCACCCTGCAGAGCATTTTATTCTTTTAATGCCCTGCCTACAATAATAGTGGGCATTACATTTTCTAGTCTTTGTGTTCATCTGCTCGTTCATATTTCTTTAAAATTTTAGTTTCAGTTAATTAACCATGATTTTGTGAACACATCATCTTTAAACTTAGTACTCTAGTTCATCATAATGTTTATTTGTTTTGGCCCATATTTCATGGTTCACTGAACATGAATATGTTCTAGTGTGATTTGGGTATGGTGTCTTATGGACACATAATCTTATTTATAATTTGATTTTAGTCAAGATTGACGTAGTGGCCTTGGACATAGTGTATTTTTCAAACATACAACCTTGCTGTGTAAAATCTGCATCGAAACACATTTGTCAACATAACATTCATCAATTAAATGATATCTAAATAATATACACTTTAACTGTTAATTTCAATTTGAAATAGATCTAAGTAATTATACCCCCGCTTTAAAAAAGGGGGTATACTGTTTTACCTCTGTCTGTCCTTCCGTCAGTCCATCCATCCATCAGTCCGTCCATCCCATGAATATTTTCGTCGCATTTTTCTCAGGAACTACTTGACAAGGATTTCTGAAATTTTCTCAGGAACTACTTGACAAGGATTTCTGAAATTTGGTTTCAAGGTTTATATAAGTCAGCTATACCGTGTGATGCGTTTTCAGATTCATCACTCAACAACTTCCTGTTTACCGAACACTTGTATTATTTTACACATGATAGCCAAGTTGAAAATTCTCGTCACATTTTTCTCAGGAACTACTTGACAAGGATTTCTGAAATTTGGTTTCAGGGTTTATATAAGTCAGCTATACCGTGTGATGCGTTTTCAGATTCATCACTCAACAACTTCCTGTTAACCAAAATATTTCGTCGGGGGTATCATCAGTGAGCAGTAGCTCACAGTTTTACTTGTTAGTAAAATAATATAAAACTACGATATATTGTAGCTAACTTGGTGAACAATATGCATATTGCAAAAATTCATTTCACAGCAGTAGTGCTGAAAACCAAATATTGTAAATTAAGGAGCACTTCAATTATTTTAAATTTCTGATGATTTTCTAAAATTGAACATTAATTAATGCTATCTGAAAATCATGTTATGATATAACATAACAGACCTCAATAAAAATGTTAGTTTTATCCAAGTAATATCCTGTTACATGTTTCCCATTTATTAAAACACCTTAATCAGGGTTTCTAAATTTACAGCATTAATTATCCAATCATAAACAACAATGAACAAAAATAATGTCAAATAGGATGCCAAAAAGAACTAAGGAATACATGTTGATCTTCATAATAACATCAGAATCTATATCTAATTGTCAGCTGGACCTTTCACAGGTATAAATTCCAGATGAAGTAATTCCTTTACAAAGCACCAGACCTGCCAACTTTACCGATTTTTATAAGTATAGGGGTTTTCCCAAAATAGAGAAGTTGGCCTGACTCTTTAAATCTTTCATTATGTTAACTGAATACTGCAAATGTTGCATTCAAGGGAGTTGAAATGGCATTTAAGCACACATGTTCTTAGTATTTTCAAATATTCCATGGGATTTGAAATATATAGTCCTGTTCCCCAAAAATTTTAGCATCACATTTATAATACTTCTTTTATTTTTTTTTGACAATTTGCAGACCATTGGTAAATTGTCAAAAAATATCATAAGGACCTAAGAACTAGGGTTCCACAGCTAGGTGCCTTGGTATTATAAGGTCTTGGAGAGAAAACTGACATACTCAATAAGAGTCTTATTTTATCAAATTAAATACACTTATGACATGCATTATGCATAAGAAATGCATCAGGTCCTCTAGTGCTTAAATGTCAGATATAAATTTAAATGATGATAATGTTGAGACATTTGTACAATCCAAACTTGTTTAGATTTAAATTCTGCCTCTTTGTGTTGGTATTTTTCACTTCTTGACTTCTTTATTGTTTTCTTTTTATTTCAGAATAAAGAAAGAACAGATGATACAGAGAGAAAACAAAGAAAGGTAATTGACACACTGCACAGACATTTTTCATTCGTTTAATACCTTGATTTGACATCTAAACGTCTTGTCTGGGTTGTTAGGTTGCTGTCATATATAATATAATAATCCACATCTCTTTTCAATCAAACTATAAATAATTTTTGAATTGAAAATGAACAGGGGGAATTATATTTCATCATTAAATAAAATTATCCTTGACTTAGATGTAACAAAGCATGTTTGTCAATCTTATAGTTTGTGGGGAATAAAACAAAGCATGATTGTAAATCTATTTGTTTGCAGCGAATCAAACAAAGAATAATGTCAATCTATTTGTTTGTAGGGAATCAAACAAAGGATAAATGTCAATGTATTTGTTGCAGGTAATAAAACAAAGCATAACTGTCAATCTATTTGTTTGTGTGACAGGGTTGTATCCCTTCATTAGTGGATACTTAGTCAGCCATAAGCGGTTGAGCTAAGGAAGTTAACATACTGCCTTGTAACACAGAGGTCCGGGTTTCGAGTCTTGCTGGAGACAATGTAATTTTCTCATAAGAATCATGCTCTCCGGTTACATGTGCATGGAAAAAATACACTATTTACATCATTTGGTCTCTGATGGAGAGTTGTCTCATTTGTAATCATACTACTTCTTTTTATTTTTATGTATGTGTTTAAATAGGATTAGATTGATAATTTGGAATTTGGAGATAAAAAAAACTGATATACACTGCTTTTAAGAAATAATCAGTCCATTTGTTCATCTCTCTGTTTGACCATCTGTTTATCTGTTCATCTGACTAGAACTCGAACTCATGAACTATTTAATGAATTACAAAGAAACAAAATCTCTAGTAGTGATTAGTAGTTGCTGAAATTTTTACCCTGCTATAATTGGTATTTTGGTTTTCTCTCATCAAATCACAGACATATCAACCAAGGTTAAGATAATTATTTTATAAAAAAAATTGATAAAACATCTGATATTTATTTTTAGATATGATTATATGTATCATTCCAGGAAGCAATACAGAAGGAGAAAGTCATCATCTTCATCATCATCAAGGTCAAGGTCACCAGAAAACAGAACAAGATCATCACCTAGACAACAGAAAAAAGCAAGTTTGGATTCCTCAGATGATAGTGAAGATGACAAGAATACAAAAGTTAGCTCAAAAGAGCAAGACAAATCTTCAAGAAAGGATTCAAGGTCAATTTCTAATAAACAAAAAGACTCATCAGAACTTGATAAAAATAGGGCTGAGAAAACTACTCACAATAAAAAAGATAAAAGAAAACAAAGAACAAGGTCATCATCAAGGTCAAGTTCAAGTGATGATGATGGTCCAAGTGTAGCAAAGAAAGATAAGAGTGAGGAGAGAAAGGAAGTGAAGAAAGAGACAAAAGTTGATAAAGAACTGACAATTGAGGAAATAAAAGCTAGATATGCTAGGAGGACAACTAAGGACATGATTGAAGCTGCGAGAGATAGATACTTTTTACGAAAGATTGAAAGAGACCAAACAAAACCTTATATATTTAGGAGTGATGAATAAATCATTGAAATTTAGGCATTCATTATCATTGTGCTTCTTATATCTATGGTTTACCTATGAAGATGAAAAACGTTGGCAACCACACAGATAAATGGAGGTTTTACATAGAACCATTTGGAAATGATTTTGGGCTTCTGCAAGAAAAATCTTTTACAGTTTTGGAAAACAAAATCCATTGGCAAGAATGGCAATGATTTTTGGTAGAATAGTCTATTGCCAATTACCTATTTAATTCTGTGATTACTGGTACACACTTTTAACACAGGTTGTTTCCTTTGGCCAATTGTAGACTGGTTCTATTCCAACAAAATGGGCTGCTGCTCATGCAAAATATGATAAGTAGAAAGTGACATATAGGCGTTTAAAAAATAAAAAGATTAAAAAAATAAAATAACTATTAATATCAAAAGTTTTTAGCCAAAAAAAAAGTTAAATGGAAAGAAGAAATTTGAAAAACTTAGATTAGACACATATAAATGTTATTATTTCCAATTAGCTCTCGATTGTGAATGAAAAATCATAATAGTCCGGAGGGAACCAACTTAAAAAATTGATTTCTCATTACAGGGTTAATTACTCAATTGGAAAATAGACTATTATGATTTATTGTGGAAATGGACTGTTGCTATTTACACTTTGAAATGATACTGTTAAAATCTATTACTCATTAAAAAAAGAGATGTGATATGATTGCCAATGAGACAACTATCCACAAAAGACCTAGGACATTGATGTTAACTACCTTGACAGTTTATGGCATTGACTATTTGCTCCGTTTGTAAAGCTGTACAGTAAGGGTTATGTTTTAAAAGGATTGAATCTCAAATAAAATTGAGAATGGAAATGGGGAATGTGTCAAAGAGACAACAACCCGACCATAGAACAGACAACAGCAGAAGGTCACCAACAGGTCTTCAATGCAGCGAGAAATTCCCGCACCCGGAGGCGTCCTTCAGCTGGCCCCTAAACAAATATATATACTAGTTCAGTGATAATGAACGCCATACTAAACTCCAAATTGTACACAAGAAACTAAAATTAAAAATAATACAAGACTGACAAAGGCTAGAGGCTCCTGACTTGGGACAGGCGCAAAAATGCGGCGGGGTTAAACATGTTTATGAGATCTCAACCCTCCCCCTATACCTCTAGCCAATGTAGAAAAGTAAACGCATAACAATACGCACATTAAAATTTTGTTCAACATGGTTTAACCCATCACCTTAAAGAAGTCAGAAACATGTGGGTTCTTTTTCAGTTATTAATACATAAAAAAGAATGCAGGAATCACAGTACAACAGACCAAATAAACCACCAATGCCTGACTCCACCAAAAAAAACCCAAAAAGTACAAACATAAACATTTAAGAAAAATACATGGTCTAGATAGCCTGGATGTGGTGGTGTAAAACCAGTGTTTCCCATCTAGACAATTTATGTCTTTAACTTAAACATGGAAATCAATCTTAGATCTGTTACACATTTTCCTTCACAATATTGTTAGTTTTTATTTTGGTTTTTGATGTCTTTTATATTAATCTGGTTTACTATTTTTATGTCCTTTCTTTAGCTTGCATAACTCAATTGGGCAATGTAAACTATTGCCATCACTTTGCATCCATTGTTGTCTCCAATCTCAGTCTACATTGTCATAAACTTTTTCAGAAATTTTTTCCTACCACACATAATAGAATATTGATTGGTTAATTAACTATGGCCTAAGGCCTAATAATAACTGTGGATTCATCATTATTCGTGGGATTTGAATTTTCATGGATTTCGTGGATACAGGTAAACCACGAATTTTAATGTTGAACGATTAACAAATTTTCTGTAGGCTTTTATCACAGGGGGGGGGGTCTCTTCCTATATGAAGGTATATACATATGTGCCGCTGTAATGGGTCCCTTTTTATATACGTCAAATATATAAATGGGGTGCAATTTTACTGAGGAAATATATCAATAGGTAGTAATTGACCAATTGTGATATATCAATGGGTCATAATTTTTCAGTTTGTTGTGCAACGATCTTCACTGAATTTCCCAAACTCTTTGTCATTAGATTTTTAGAGGGGTCTATATATAGGAATGCTGGTTCGGCTGTAACGGCGTAAACTGTATAAATTTGTACATTCTAATATATAGATATAAGAAGGTGTGGTATGAGTACAAATGATTTCACAGTGAAATATATGTATAGGTAGGGATTTCACAATTATTCAATATATGAATGGGGGGTGTTTTTTATATCCCAGCTGCACAACTGTACCCAAAATCCGATGTTGGCTTTATGCAGTCTTTGGCAGAACCATGAAATCTAATACCCACAAAAATGCAAGTTTTCTACAATCCAGGAAAATTGGTATGCACAAAAATAAATGAATCCACAGTATTGTGTTTTGATTAATTATGTAATAAGTAATTGCAGAATGTTGTTCCAATTAATTGCAATATGGTTCATTTCATGAGTCACTATTAAGATTTTCATGGTTATATCTGTTTCTGAGATACTATAAGCAATAGGTCATCTATATGTCTGACATTGACCTCATTTTTATGATTGGTTAATGTTCAGTTTTCATAATTATGTCCATTTCTCCAATACTAAAAGCATTAGGCTAACTATATTTGGTGTATGGTATGATTGTAAAATGCACATGTCAGTCTAGAAGGGTTCATCTGACCTTGACCTCATTTACATGTTAAGTTTATGTGATACTTGTATTCATTCATATAACACACTTTCAACATAAATTCAATCATGATAAGTAAAGCAGGCTAGACATTTCAGCGTGGGGACTCCTGATATTACACTTATTACCAAGCCACATAGAACTGCTAGTTCAACATTGAAGTGCTTTAAAGAGGTATTTACTCTTCATTTGTTTTTGTCTCGCCTGCGACGAAAAATCGCAGAATGCGAGAGTACTGTCTGGCAGCGGTGTAAACTTTATATAAAGTTATATATTTCAGAAGGTACAAGACCATGATGCTTCATACCTTGTATGCAGATACCTAATGTTACAAAGTTTCTATCTGTCATATCTTCATTGTCCTTACCCTATTTTCATGGTTCATCGACTGCTTGAAAACATTTTTTTTTTTTTAGTCATGTGAATTTCTCACTTATTATGAGTAATAGGATACCTATATTTGGTATATGGGTTCCTTGCAACATCTACATGTTCGTCAGACAGGGTTCACCTGATCTCGACCTCATTTCATTTAAAGATATGTGATTAGGTCCATTTCTCAGATACTATAAGCAGTAGGTGAACTATATGTGGTGTATTGAATGATTGTAAGGGTTATATGTCAGTTGCCAGGTTACATCTGACCTTGACCTCATTGTTTTGGTTCAGTGGTAAATGTTAAGTTTTTGTGTTTTGATCTGTTTTTAAAGTTCTATATAAACAATAGGTCAACTATATTTGGTGTATGTCATGATTGTAAGGTGTATTTGTCTGTCTAGCAGGTATCATCTGACCTTGACCTCATTTTCATGTTTTATTGTTCAATGTTAAGTGTATTGTGTTTCGGACTGTTTTTCAAATACTAATAGCAATAGGTCAGCTTTATTTGGTGAATAGAATAATTGTAAGGTGTACATGTCTGTCTGGTGGGTATCATCTGACCTTGACCTCATTTTCATGGTTCATTGGTCAATGTTAAGTTTTTGTTTTGGTCTGTTTTTCAATTAACATAAGCTATAGATCAACTATATTTGGTGTATGAAATAATAATAAGTTGTACATGTCTGTCTGACAGGATTTATCTGACTTTGACCTCATTGTCATGGATCTTTAAAATGTTAAGTTTATGTGATACTTGTAGTTAAACCTTGATCTTTAAGACTTTCAACAAAAAAATCATTGGTCATTAAAGCAGGCGAGACATTTCTGTGTGTGCACTCTTGTTTGCATTACTTTTTGTCCCTCAGATACACATTTCGAAACATATATGAAACCTATTGATGTATTGTATGACTTTATGTACATATCAATCAATTCTGATATACACTTTGTAGACATCCAACACATATGAAACCTTTTCTTAAACATTTTGATTTGGGAATATAAATCACTCTACTCCCCACTATGTTAAAAAAATCACAATCGCTTGAAAATAATTCTCATAGAAAAATTAAATAAGCTATCGTTATAATTTTTCAGGGGTTTGCCATTATGATGGAAGCAATTTTCTAATCCCTATTTAAGATGAACACAAGTTGCATGTCTGCGACACAGAAAAACAGGAGTTTAACATAGAGCCAATTAGAAATACATGTGAAGGTCCAAGCTCTATCTCTCATGTAATTTTATTCCTGTCATTGAAACGACTATAACAACACTTCAGACAAGATGTGATGGACTGTTCATTTGTATTAGAATGACAAATAGGTTTGTTACACATGTTCAAGTTCTAAATGTGCAATATATAAGGGGAAAATTAGTAAGAGGTTTGTTTTTCTTCATAAGACTCATCAGTGGCTCAAAAATCAAAACAGTTTGAAGGCCAATATAAAAAAGAAGATGGGGTATGATTGCCAATGAGACAACTCTCCACAAGAGACCAAATGACACAGAAATTAACAACTATAGGTCACTGTACAGCCTTCAACAATGAGCAAAGCCCATACTGCAAGTCAATTACAAATTCAAAGTTGAAGAGCATTCAAAACAAAACGAAAATAAAAAATAAAAACTAAGACAAACTTTGCTCTGAGATTGATACAATTTAGTGTTTCAATGATTTAACATTTTATGAACATAAAATTCCAAAAAGAAAATGAATACATCAATGAGGGTCGTAATGGGGGTACCTTCATGACAAATAACGGTAAAAAATCTTGCCAAATGACGTTAACGGTAATTTTTGGTGCATGACGATAAAATGTACATTTTCTTTATGACGATAAAAAAATTGACTGATTTTGACGAATCACGTTAAAGTTTTTACAGTAATAATGGTAATGGTTAATTATTTTAGCCATCTGACGAATCACGATTAGAATATTTTGACGACTCACGATAAAATTTTAACCAATTTGACGCTAACTGTAGCCGAAAATGACTGTTTGACGCCTGACGTTAAAGGGCATTCCTACCTTCAACAATGCTATTTAATGTCAGACCAGTGTGTTCACTACTGGGCTGCTGAAAGCCTCTGATAGTATAGATGTGATTTATCACAAATTCATGACTGGTGGATTGACATATTGTATAGAAACCTGTCTATTATTGTAGACTGTATGGTGTTCTCTAGATGTCTTTTGACTGATTTTGTTATTCCTTTCCTCTCTTTGACATATATACCCCACATCCCTTCTTATTCATAAACTCATCATAGATACCAGGCTTGAAATTTTGTATGCCAGACGCACATTTTGTCTATAAAAGACTCATCAGTGACTCTCCAATCAAAAAGTTTAAAAGGCCAAATAAAGTACGAAGTTGAAGAGCATTTGATCATTGTATTGTACTCCGCCATACCATCACAAAACTCCTGCTATATTTTTACATGAGTTGTCACGAAAAAATATCCTGTAAGATAATTTATAAGCCAAAAAGCATTGCAACAATTTTTCTACTTGCAAAACAAGCAACTAGACAGAATAATGAAATTTTATTAAAATAGTTATAAAAATATAAAATTAGATAATGCAAAACAACAAGAAAAATGAATGATTGCACAAATAGTGATTAAAGCAAACAATAAAAATATAAATTCAAATTTTATCAAAATAATAAACTATCATATATCATAAATAAAAAAGAACACATTCAATCACATTATTGGTATTAGAATAGTGTTAAAATCAACAAATAACAAATAACTAAGTAACGATTTACTGCAGGTGAAGTTTGTGCTTTTATTTTATGGAACATCTTTTTTATTTTCTTAAGAAAAAATAACTGAACTTTAAGCTGAACTTTTAATCATACATTTGAACTACAGCTTTCTACTAAAAAATCACAAAGAATGAGCTGACAAATTGATCATGAGGGCTAAATGGTTTTTCTATATTTTGAAGGCACTTTCAAGCTTGTTTGACCTGCCACATTCATTATAAGAATTTGAAAAGATGTTTTATTAAATAATTTTTATTTCTTTTATTTTTCAAGTCCAAAAACAGCATAAATTTTAACCCGATTTTCGAAGTAAAAATCGTTTATTGATTTGGGGATGTATGGCGGGCGGCCGGCTGCAAAACAGTGTCCGTTCATTAACATGAAAACCCTTTGACACTAATTTTCTGAATGCTATATATATAATTTTTTTGGGATGAAGTGAACTCTTTTAATTAGATAATAATTCATTTTTAATAAAGGATACATTTCATTACATTACATTGTGTAGATGATAGATAAGTTGCAGATCTATATTAGTTTGTGACAAATGAAAGAAAAAATACTTGGAACTATTAATCATATTTGATTATAATTTGAAAATAGATATACATTATGTTACATCATATCTAATTTTAGAGAACTATTTAATTTTTTAGTGATTAGATCATATCTAATCTTAGAGAACTATTTTTGCTTTATTATTTTCTGTTCAAAGGGAAATAACTCAAACTTGTTTCCATAAACCAGTAATCATAATATAAGTATACGGATTTTGTTCAATTAATTTTAGTCATTAGTTGTCAAAAATTTCTTTATAACTATTTTTTATAAGTCAAGTGTGTTATAAAAGGTAGATGTCACAGTTTTTATGTGGTATTTTATTTTTGTTGTGTGTGTTAATGTTTAATTTTTACATGTTCCTGTTTGCGGGTTCAGATTTGCAAATATCATTTTCATTATTAATTAGATAATATTCTATTTCAAATATTCAATCACAATCCAAATTCAGAGCTGTTTTAAGCTTAAATGTTGTGTCCATGCTTGCTCAACTGTTCAGGATTCGACCTCTGCAGGAAAATCCGGTTTGCGGTCACTCTGACAGCCTCTTGTTAATATAAGAAATGCCAAAGTTCTACATTTAAATAGAGAATACATTATTGGTAATTTTCTTATCTTAACAAAAATCAGAAATATTTAATATTACTATAAAAATGAACACAAAAAAGACATAGATAAAAATGTCAATAAAAATCTCGTTATGAGGACATAACTTCAGCTGAAAATGTTCAAATCTCCAGTTGTGACTAGAAAACACTGTCACAGGTCTGTATCAGATCATTTGACCATCTATTCATAAGATCAATGAAATTGTGCTACATGTATTTCAAAACCCATTGTATTATTTGAAAATACTGGCAATATTTGTCAGAACAACATGTAATTGTGGAACATTAAATTTTTTAAAAAGAAAACAAGGAAAAAGGTAAATTGGGAATCACAGAAGGGCATCAAATTTTATCATACATTGGAATGTAAAATTATCATCAATCTAGACAAAGAATTTCAGTAATACTTTTCATAGTGTTCAATTTTTCTCTCAATTATCGATATAAATTATCCTTATAGATATTAGAGGTTAAGCTTGCTTTTTTAAGTAGAAACCATTCATACCACAATAAAACCCAACACACTTTATGTCTGTACAATAAGAATTACTCCAGATCTATATATATAGCTAGTAACAGGATAAAACTGCTAGAAAAATAATAATGTAGACATGGTAAATAAATCACAATAATTCATAACAAAAACAATATCCCTGAAACTTATTCTGTTGAAGACTTATTTGATATTCTTCTGATATACATCTTGTAAAACACTCTGACAGCTCCTCTTACCATAACAGCTAACCAATACACTTGTAATACTAGAATTATAAGACAGCCAGCATTGCATTTTATTGGAATGTTCAATGGGACCTCCCAGAAGGAAATATTTGCATGTATACTATACTTCCAGTAAAGATATGGGAACACTGCCACTCTGGTAATGGTGAATGTTACTATCATAAGTAATCCTGATATGACATACAATGTTGTATCTTTCATGTTCAGCTGGAAAAAAATATATCTAATATTATTAAAAATTTGTAAAGGTTTCCTCATAACCCTGTGTCTCACCTGGCATCACTGCTGTCAGTGTAAAAGTGTATTGTTAACTGTAAGGCCTTTTATCAGTATAATAAAGTTTTTTATTTTTAATCTTACTTTTTTCTTCAGATATTATTTCTTGATCTTAATGAATAGCTTCTGTCCAAGTTTCATAACAATCCATGAAGGTTTAAAAATTTATCCTGTCAAAACAATTTAAAGCCAGACTGTCTGTACATGTTTAAAATTGCAAAAAACGTCCATCTATCAGTAAAATACTGAAAAATGAAAAAAAATATATTTTCAAATCTTTGCTTATTCTCTTTTTGTGAATATACAAATATAGTTGCCTACTGCAACGTCATTTGGTCTCTGGTGGAGAGTTGTCTTGTTGGCAGTTATACCACAGCTTCTTATTTCTATACTGCATGAAGAACAGCAATATATTATCGGAACTGGAATCTTTATTTACTTCACTTATTTTTTATTTGAGGTTGTCATGTGTACATCATCCCTACATTTAATTTATTTTATTTTAAAATTACAAACTGGCACACCTCTTCCTATTTGTATACTAGTATAACAATAACACTTTTTAAAAATATATTCTAGAACAAAATTTACCTCTGTTCACCTAATACATATTTATTTCAAAATGTTCCTCATTGTAGCGACAGTTTTACTTATATAAAGCTTAAGGCTTTAACCAATCAGAAGCAGTGGATAATGCAATACTGTTCTAACATGTTTCATTCCCACTAAAACATACAGTGAATATCAAAAACAAAAACCTCAAATTAAACTTTTCTATAAAGTCTATTTTATTTCTTATAAACACCTTAAACACCTTTTGTTTCCTCAACTTGTCAAATTCTGTATTTTTTCTGCTCTCTTAAAATTAAAAAATTATTTACAGACACAAGAGATTTTATTCAAATTTGATCGCTGTTGTAATAGCAAGGTGACTAACTTTTTTGGCCAATAGATACAAATCGCCATATCTTAACCTAAAATAAATATTTGATAGAACAGAACCCACTCACTATAAATGGTCTAATCAAAGTAACTGTGAGCACTGAAGGGTAAAGATTGCTTTCAATTTGCAATTTTGTGAATTTTTAAATAAAATATTGAATTGTATTTTGCTAGGCAAGTTAAAAATTTGAGTTGAAGTTATCTTCCTTTGTTCATGATTGTACGTTTGTAGTTGAACCTATTTTTATAATAGATTCATACACCATGCATTACTTTTATAGTTTTTAATAAACAAATGTTTTCTGGACAATGTAGTAATTCAAATACACATCATATTGGAACTTAAATATCAAAGTATAACATATCAATAAATTGCATGACATTGACTGGATAGGATCTAGATAATGATCACTTCACTGCACTATTTTGTTTGAACTAGCAAAAGTAGTGATCAACCTTGAAAAATATAGATATCAAGTCAGTACAAAAGGGTTTTGATTGCATTTCATGCAATCTTTACCCAAAAATGGAAACTTTACCTCTGCAAGTGCTCCTCTGAATACTATAAATGGAATGGCTAACTCTATCTGATAAAATATACCAACAAAAAAATCTCCATAGCCTTTTCTCAAAAGCTGAAATTGATAATACATATTGAATGTGTAACATATATATTATTTGATATTACATAAAAATTCACCAATAATTATGTCCAAACCAAAGCCCTTCAGAACAGATGATTTTGTTTGGATTAGACAAGTGTTTGGTTTACACAGGTGAAAATAGTAAAGAATAGTCATTGTACGTCATGATACAAGAGTTAGAGCTAATTTCCTAATGTTTGTAGAGTAAGACTTTGGTTGGCTTACTTTTTTTGTTTGTATAAATGTTTGCTCAAGCATTGTAATTAAGATTGACATCTGTAAACAATAGACATAGGGGGAGTTAAACCAGTATACACTATACTTAAATTTGATTGGATGTTATCCTGGAGGTTATTAATAGTCAATAATGAAAATCATCAAAAGATCACATATATAATCAAATAATTTGTTTTCATGAATTTTGACTACGGTCCAAAGATTGGTTCCAAATATATTGTTTATACCAGAGACAATGCAGAAAGTGAATTTCATGTTTTTCAACTAAAATATTTTCATATCTTGATTTTCAATGTTTAAAGTAAATAAGTTCAATGCTTGGCCAACAATTATTGAAAATCATGAATAATAATTCAAAATAAAAGTTGTAATTCCTTATCCAGATTTGGCTATACTAAAGGTCCTATTTGGTTTTATCAGCTCTTAAGCATTTGTATTAGGTTTGGATTTTCTCTTTTTTTTTTCCTCGAGCATAACTGCAGAGTCATTAATTGTTGAAATGCGCATCTGGTGCAGAAAATTAGCACCATTAATGGTATTGAAATTATCCTGAAATATACACATCAATAAGATACTAAAGTAATAATTATGATTAATCTTACAATTATAGCTGGATAAAAAATAATTGGCAGGACCAAATGATGTATCATCATGGCTTTGTTTCTTCTTAAGAAATGCTGAATTCCAAACAACAAGGGCTTCTTTTGAATTTCTTTATATTGGTGGTAATGAACCTCATACATGGCAGCAACATCATATACAAAGTATGGCAAGGCAAAGACAGCATAACTGTTGGTCAACCAGTGTCTAAAACAAACAATTTATTTACACAGCACCAATATTAAAGAACATCTGAACACAAAATACATATATTAGTCAATAAGTTTCTGAAACAAACAGGAACTTACTTTGCAAAAACATCAGATTCAAATAAAATTGAGAATGGAAATGGGGAATGTGTCAAAGAGACAACAACCCGACCATAGAGCAGACAACAGCCGAAGGCCACCAATGGGTCTTCAATGCAGTGAGAAACTCCCGCACGCGGAGGCGTCCTTCAGCTGGCCCCTAAACAAATATGTATACTAGTTCAGTGATAATGGACGTCATACTAAATTCCAAATTATACACAAGAAACTAAAATTAAAAATGATACAAGACTAACAAAGGCCAGAGGCTCCTGACTTGGGACAGGCGCAAAAAAGCAGCGGGGTTAAACATGTTTTTTGAGATCTCAACCCTCCCCCTATACCTCTAGCCAATGTAGAAAAAACAAACGTACAACAGTACGCACAGTAAAACTCAGTTTAAGAGAAGTCCGAGTCCGATGTCAGAATAGGAAACAAAAGAAAATAAACAAAATGACAATAATACATAAATAACAACAGACTACTAGCAGTTACTGACATGCCAGCTCCAGACCTCAATTAAACTGATTGAAAGATTATGTCTTCATCATATGAATATCAGGCACAATCCCTCCTGTTAGGGGTTTAGTATTATACCATCATAAAATATATGAGAAGAACATAACCCGTGTCATGCCAACAACTGGTTTTAGAATAAATATGTTTAATTCCGATGCAAAGACCCTATAAGTGAATCAATATCAAAGCCAAAATATGCAATCTTTAATGACCTGACAACAGTATCCTAACTATATCCCTTCTTAATAAGTCTGTTTAAAGGTTTTGTTAGCTTTTGAGGTAAATACTGACATTTTTGTGCTTTGTAAAGAATATTACCATAAAAGATTGGATGTGAAATACCCGAACATATAAGATGTCTGCATGTTGAGTTATATTTACGAATGATGTCCTTATACCGATGATAAAATTTAGTAAATGTTTTGACTAGTTTATGATATCGAAAACCCTGGTGTAATAATTTTTCAGTAATATATAAATTTCTCTCGCTAAAATCTAATACGTATGTTGAGCCAAAAGTATTATACCTGTTGATCTCTGTCTTCTGTGGGTTTTTTTTTTGTGTCATTTGGTTGCTGTCTAATTTACAAATACATTGTACCCTTATTTCCTTTTATTGATAATTCGCTAGTCAACCAACCATTATCTAAAATTGTTAAAGGTACAAAGTTGACATTGTGACATACTGAATAGATTCGATCCTGTTTAATCTTGATGATTCACTGATTGTATGTTATCCTAAAGATATCTTTTGGTTATTTGTGTTGGGGGGTGGCTGTCTCATTGACATATCCCACATCTCCTTTTTATCTGTTAATTCATAAGTACAGGCATAAACACATGACAGCCAATATTACTTATTGAGTTCTCATCACATCACTTTATCAAAATACAGTTTTTCTTTGATTTTTTTTTAGTATGGTTACTATTAGCATATATATAGAGCATCATAAATCATATCCTTATAAATACCTATCTATCATTATGTTTCCTTGGCATGCTGTGGCTATAATATTTCCAATAGTAAATGAAGCAATGGCCTGCAGACTAGACACAATTCTGTAATAAAAATGTTATCAATGCTCAGTTATTCATAGAACTACTATTTGAAAAGTATTTCCTATTTCTATTTCCTTGTTATTTATCCCTTCAAGTCATGTATATGTTACAATCAGGGGTTCAACGAAATTTTTGCTTCACAATATGTTCATTTATCAACATTAGTTGACACAAATTTGACAGGGTTCTTACTCAGCATTTTTAAAGGCAAGTCCAAGGACTCAAACATTTTGCCCAGAAAAAGTCCAAAGTTCTGTATAGAAAAAATACCAATGCCCTTATTCATTATTTAACTCTTTCATCAACACAAAATGAGAACAGAATCAAATTAATTATTTTTATACTTTTGCCATAAAATGATGATAATGCACTAAGCTGATACAATTTTGCTGCATCTTTAATTTGGAATTACCAGTTCAAACAAATATGAATCCAGAACTCATCTTAGTGAACACCCTGTGGGTGAAATTCTAATGCTTTGATTGCAATGATTGAAAAACTGAAGCATTTTTTTTTTTTTTTTAACAGAATTAAGAATTCAGTTTCAAAATGGATTAATAGAATCCCAAAATTTAATTGAAAAGAAAGGGTATACTGTATAAATTAATTACACAAAACCACTACACACTATGTCATATATAAAAAAAGTTAACCATGTAAACAGTAAAGGAAATTGTTGCTTTTGTAATTTGATCTGAAAAAGTCACAGCAAGGATAATTTAGCCTTTTTCAATGATATAAATCCTGGAAATATGCATTCCTAATCATGTTTATTCCATAAAACAATCTTTTTCCCCTCAATTATTTCTGGTTACCAGCAGCAGTGATGGACAAATGAATAACCCCTGTGAACATGGTAAATGAAGGATGTTTAGTTGGAATAAAAATTTATATATATATGTACAATGTATAATGTATGAAAAAATATCAAGTGTTCAGAATGTCAGTTTTAAGGTGTTCATAAAAATCTGAACTATGAATTCAGGGAGATAACTACATGTATACATATATATGCATGTACCTCTAAACCTATTTACCTTTTGCAGTAAATGAAAATTATTTTTACAAGTATTATCCCTGACCGACCATACAATGATAATATACATGTAAAAAATGTATACATACATGTACATGTTGTCCAATATCTGCAATACATTACAAATAAAATCTAAACTCTCCATAATGCTCGGTAATAAACATAATAAATATGTTCTTTGATGTGGTTTGTATTTTATAACTTAAAAGACTGGTTGTTTCCAAGTTTTTTTTGGAAAAAAATACATGTAGCTTGAACATTACATTGTCACTAATTTGCACAAAACATGGTGAATAATGAGCATCTAAAAAACTTAAAAACAAAAGAAATAATAAAATGGGGAATGTGTCCATCGGACACAGATGATGCCCCCGCTTGCATATAACATTATAAAGGGAAATAACTCAAGAACCGCAGAATTGACGCTACCCAAATTTGTACTTGATCAGTGTTTTGTGGTAATGAGCATTGTGTATAAGTTTCATACCATTTGGTTGAGGCAAACTTAAGAAAGAGAACGGAAACGAAAAATTCAGTGATTTTTCGATTTGTAAAGGGGCATAACTCTAGAACGGTAAAAGTGACGTCACCAAAATTCAAGCTTGATCTTTGTGGTAATAAGCATTGTGTATAAGTTTCATAACATTTGGTTGAGGCAAACTAAAGTTAGACAACGGAAACCAATTTTGGGACGTACGGACAAGGATAAAACTTAACATGCTTAATGCCCCCTCCACAACGGCGAGAGCATAAAATGGCAAACATGTTGCAATAAAATAACCCTTTATGACCCTCATTATATAATTGTCTTAATGCATGTCATTGTCATACTTTTCAGCAATCAGATATACAAAACTGCAGAAAATTGTATTTCCAATCATCATGTTCATGGTGTCCAATGCTGTAATCCTATAGAAAATTGCCCTTTTTTTTTGTAGAAAATCATATTCCATATATATATGAAGCTACAGTTATGGTTAATCCAGACTTTTTACCTAAACCACCCCAATTTTTCAAAATCCTGTATCTGCAGCTGATATTAAACTATCATTCCCTGTCAGCTAGGTCTAAAATTATTTCCAGTTATTTTACTGTTTAATTAGCTGTGGAACAATAACTCTTATGGTCCTTATTATGTTTTCTGATTTGTGCAGATCGGTCCGCAAATTGTCAATTGCACTAAATTTCATAAGGACCGGTTGTTTTATAACTGAGACGTTTCATAACCTTATAATAATATATGATAATATGAATTGTAGGTTATGGAAGAATTGCTGAATAAATATTTTGATTAATAATTTTAAAACACTTATGCTTATTGATAATTTATCCATGCCTATAGCTAGTAATTTATCAACTTAAGTTAAATTCAATTCATTCAAAATAATTCACTAGTCATGCTAGTGGTTGCTCTATTGTTGATAATGTTTATTGTATTGAATTTGCTGTAATTAAACATAAAGTTAAAATGTTTCTTTCATTAATAATATTTTGGTATTTTACACAAGTGAGTTTTATTTTCAATATTTGTTTTTCATGTTTTTAATGTCTAAATTAAAGAATTCATTAGAAAAAAAATTGGTTATTGAACGAATCCCAGAAATATTGATTCTCATTATGACTGTAAATGAATTTTCATTAATCATAATCTCTAAATTAATTGAATGGCTTCGGGGGCTTCATGTTCGGATATTAATTAATCAAAGGGTTTCAATCATAAGGAAACAACAGATGTTTAGGTCACCTGGTAATTGTGAACAGTAAAAATAATGAAAATGTAGCTAAATGTTAAAACAACTAATAATTTCTATGCTTGTAATATGCTTGGTATACGCTTTTGTTAAATAAATGTTTAAACAGTTTACACAAATATTCAAACTTCAGAGGGTAGGGATAAACTCAAACGCTTATATGTCAAATATTATTATGTATGGTATCCCAAGTTACTCAAATAAAATTAAAATAATAAAAAAACAAAATACATGGAATTTGTTTTACCTTCAATATTTAGACATTTCTTAGTCCAAATAATTATGACGTCTTGAAAGGCTATTATATTTTTTTCTTTGACGCCTTACGTCGATGTAAGGCGTCAAAGAAAAAAATATAATAGCCTTTCAAGACGTCATAATTATTTGGACTAGACATTTCTAAAGAGTTATACACTTCCAGAAACAAAACTTGTGAATTAATCTATATATATTGTATTTAACTGTTTAATCTTAAGCCAAAAATAGGGACACACTTTATAACCATATAAATAAGGTGCCTTTATATAAATACAACAGGTACGAAACGACTAGCATTCTTCCGTAGCTACTGTTTAATAGTAACATAATTTACAAAAGTTCAAAATTACAGTAATTCTATGCCCTGTATCTGCTACAGCTTGTGTCTAACATTCTTACTTTAAACTCAGGTCACATAAGATGTCGGTAGATATTTTATGACTGAAAGCTAACAACAAAATACGTCGTATTAAAAGATATGTGCATGAAAACGTTGCACCCCCGGCCAGAGATAGGCCGGCGACCTCCATCTTTAAACACTTAAGAAATTTGACCAATCAACAACCTCCTATCGAATTTTTACGGAAGTACTAGAAAATGAACCAATTAATAATCATTTTGTAAGTTGAGTTTGATAGACGTAAACAAAGCAAATTCACCGACCAAACATTCACATGCACATGTCTACAATGTAGCACGAAACCATAAAATTCATGTAATTTAATGCACTACAATAGACATCCAAAAAAAAAAATCAGGAAAGAAGTTTAAGCTCTACCATTTTGTTAAATGTTTTTCAAGATCCAAATCACCATTTACCATTTAATGATTTATGCTGGGATCACACCTATGATTCCACGGTCCCATCATCCAACAATCTTGCAGTCCTATAATCCAACAATCCTACATTCTACAATGGGGGTACCTGCATAACGAATAACTTTGAAAAATCTTGCCAAATGACAACAGTAATATTTGGTGCATGATGTTAAAATGTACATTTTCTTTTTGACGATAAAAAAAATCATGTTAAATTCTTTCCAAAAATAACGGTAACAGATAATTATTTGAGACCTCTGATGAATGACAATAAAATTTTAACCAATTTGACGCTAACGGTAGCCAAAAATGACCGTTTGACAACTGATGATAAAGGGCATTCCTACCCTGTATAATCGGACAGCCCTATAGTCTGATGAAGTGTGGCATAGTGATAAGGAATGGACTGTCTGAATTTCAGAATGTCAGATTATAGCTACGTTCCCTTTATGCTTCTTTCTGGAGCATATAAAGGTAGCCTCAAGTATGGAATTGGTCAGATAGGAAAACATAATCCTACCTCTGCTATTAAAATGTGTCTGTTCATCCTTATAACATATTTTTGGCCAGTGACTGATCACCTTATTTTTCAAATGTTTTTTTAAAAAAAAACATAAATCTATATTTATTGAAAATAGGTTAAACATGTTATATATGAAAAAAAATTGAATGTTAGTAAATTATAGGTAAAATTTTGTGAGAACAGTCAGGGATATAACTCTATAGGGTTATTACAGAAAAATAACATACATTTGTTAATGTGGACTTAAAAATCAAAGAACTGTGATAACATATGTATGTTACATGTTTCAAAGGGACAATATACATCACTAGTTTAGTTAAAATGCATACAAGTTCTATTGATATTACTATTGTCTTTATGTACACTTAACTATAGAAAGATATAACAGTTCATAGTTTGCCAATTTTGCATAGTACACCTATATGTTATTACAGAAAAAATATGCCTGTAATAACTAAAGGGTGTTATCACAGCTTCTCTATATAACTCCAAAGCATTTTCTCAGACATACATCATGCTTAATTACAATGTATTTTAATTTATTGTAAGAAATAATGACCAGAGCATGTAATGAGGTTCTGCGCAAGCTTCCCAGTAATTCCCAAGTGTCTCATATAATAGGTTACATTCCTTTAATAACTAAGCTATGTTATTACAGCTAATTTTATCCCTTAAAAGCCTTGTCTCATTGATTTACTGATGATGGGAGTTTTTAACGACCTTGACTGGCTATACAGCCCTTGCACGGTCGGCTCATTGATTTACCATGGTTAATCAAAAATGTATTAATATAATTAAAGAATTAATTATCAAGGCTATGCATTTAGTTTCTGCGCAAAGTCTCAAGAGTTCCCTAGAGCCCATTATAAATTAAAATATTTTTGATTTATTTTACAAATAACAAACATATGTTATTGCAGATTTGGAAAATTTAAGGAATAAAGAGTAGGCAACTCATGAAAGTATGTGTAATAACACACACAAGTTATTTTCTGTAATAACCATATAGAGTTATATCTCTGACTGGAGAAAACAGGAAAATATTGTATACAATTAATGATTAGTCTCAAGTACTGATGGTAATTCTTCAAAATTTCTTTAGCATAATAAACTAAACGGCCTTAAACAAAAACCCATGTCATGATAAAATGTAAAACAATTCAAACAACAAAACCAGATACTAGTAACTGATTTATTCTAAAACATTAACCCAAAATCAAATATTGCATACAGCTACCATTATTTTCATTACACATTGTGGCAGGATTTAATATTTTTCTGATCACCTAACCTTCCTCCTGAACAGGGACAGTGGTGTAACAGCTGTACAAACTGTAAACGTCAGTTAGAAAGGGCTTGACTCATCTGATTAATGCGAAGCACAATAGTAACGGGAAAAAAGACGAGATTCAAAGCACCATTGAATCTAAGAGACTAGCAGTTACTTAACGCTATATTTGAAAGCTCACTTCAACTAATTAGGCTGCTAGTTTTCTCGTTTAAAATGTTTCACATTTTTCATGTCAAGTCTTTTTATAAATTACTATTTGGTATGGATTTTCTCATTGTTGAAAGCTTTACAGTGACCTATACTTGGTTTTATTTTCGTCATTTGAACTCTTGTGGATAGTTGTCTCATTGGCAATCATAACACATCTCCTTATTTTTATATAAATCATGTTTTCTCTTATGGTTGTGGCCTATTATCTATTTCTTGCACGAAGAGATATTTCTCATATCACACTGCACGGAGTGTGATACGAAAAATGATATGAAAACTGCGTTAATTTGATTGGCTTATCCAGCATCATGAGACAATATTTGGACATTTCCATTGGCTATTTGTTAGGTCATTGATAACTTTCAAAGGTTAAAACAATGTACATTTCATCCATGGCAACTGACATGTCATTTCTTCAATAATATACAAAACACTCACACTTTTCACCTGAAAATCTTCTTTTTGACAACTTTTATTACATTATGAAGCATACAAAAAGTTTTAAAATGTCTGATGTTAAAGTTTGACACCGTTCTAGGACATATGACATCATGCTGGTATGTGCAAAAGACTAGATCAACAATCCGCAGAATTTTAATTTAACACATGAGAGTGTTGACCATAAGAGAAATGGGTTTAACAACTCGTGAGAATTGAAAATGTTGAAATTAAATGACTCGAGTTGATATCAACTGATATTCAATTCTCACTCGTTATGAAACATTTAATCACCAGACTTAAATATCAAATAGCATGCATCCAATGGAATTAGTGAAAAGATATTATCTGAGAAAAGCATGACCTTTATTGTGCAATGCCAAAATAACGACATGATATATGCAAATAAGTGTTCATAACTGTATAGCAATAATTATCATGCTTATTAATTATATTTTGATTTATTTAAAGCAAAATCAATGTTAGTGAGTATTATAATGCTTATTTCTTATATAACATACAATAGGATCACTTTTTATCTGAAACTACTGGATATTTAAATTTCTTACCACAAATAAATTCCATTACATCATAATGTAACAAAATTTGTTTTTCTTACATCTTTTGATACAGCTTGAGTGTCCTGATATTTCGTAGGAATAAACTTACTTTATCATGTTTATCAAATGTGAAAATTTTAGATATAGGACATCCTTGAAATAAATTGAGGTTATTAAATAAGGACATGAAGGAGTTTTCACAACATTTTTAAGATGCTTTTCAATCTTCCACTATTTGTGAAAGCATATTGAAGAATTTGATACCTGTAGTTATTTTGTGATAGTGCCAACGTCATTCATTGTGTCTGTAACCTATTGGGCTCCTTTAATCCTTGATGCATTTTGCAATGGCATGCCTAGGTTATATTCCTTATCATGCTTATGGACATTTTCTATCCAGGTACTTGTTACACATGTATACTATTTGACTATAGTGTATCAACCATTGTTAATGATGAACCCTAATACTTAGACAAACTTGTGTGGAAGCCTTATAAAAACTGTACATTCAATTTGGAATTTGATGTAAATAAAACCAGTAATTTTTTAGCTTCACAAAGGAAAATACTAAATGTCACAGACCAAATGGGATTGTTTTAGCAAGCATCATTAGGTCAATTGGTACAAAAATAAGGTAAAAACTAGGAACTCTAAATTTGTTTATTTTTGCCAAACGACAAATCACATCTCATGCTGAGCTTAATTTTTTCAGTCATTTGTTTTTTAATACTTTCAGATAATATTGTAAAAAGTTATCCATTATACATGTACTTGTGGAATATAATAGTATAGTATCCGAGTTATAGAAAAACAGATGCATCATGGGTAGAACTAAGACTATCAGCGGTGGTGGTGGAACAAACAGTCCATCCTCATCAGACAGCAATCCAGCTTCAACTACAGCACAAAAATCTGAAACCAGAATAAAAGATTTACTGAAGGAATTGTATACTTTAATTCATAATGTTCAGGTATACATGGTATATTGTTTTTTTTCTGAAAATAATTGGGCTATTACTTTTTCGTCGACTATGACAGCTGATAACAATGTGTCCCAGAAAATCCTGGAAGTAAATTAAATTTCATGAATATATCTGTAAAGGGATAAATAAAAAAATGTTCTGAATTGGAAAGGTAGAAAATGATTTATGTACATAGATATAGGAAGATGTGGTATGAGTGCCAATGAGACAACTCTCCATCCAAGTTACAATTTATAAAAGTAAACCATTAGAGGTCAAGGTACGGCCTTCAACACAGAGCATTGGCTCACACTGAACAACAAGCTATAAAGGGCCCCAAAAAATTACTAGTGTAAAACCATTCAAACGGAAAAACCAACAGTCTAATCTATATAAAAACGAGAAACGAGAAACACAACTACTGTAATCAGATTCCTGACTTAGGACAGGTGCATGTATATCATGTATATCATTTATATACTGGTTTATACTTAGAAATAAATTTCTTTAGTGTGTGAACCTTGGCAGGGTGTAATTAAACTTTTTTTATATGATATTTGTGAAAAAAGAGATATAGTTTATGTTTTAGGATGAAAGGGCTCGCGGGGAACACAACTTGACAAATATTTCAAAGACACATGAAAGAATGCAACAGGAACAGAGAGGTATATAAGTTTAGGGACTAATGTTCCTGTAGAGAAAGATTTAATACATTCTTCATGGTGTGTGCCAAATCTGAAATGTTACTTGATGATATATTCTCACAAACTGCCACTATTGTCTTGTGGTAGAGTGCTTTACTAAAGTATTAGGTTGGTGTGTTTTGATCCCTAGCTTAGTGAAATGAAAGACGTCAAAAATGGTTTTTGTTGCCTCTCCATGTACATGTGCCCTTTCAAAGTCAATCAAAGACTGGTTAATATATCAACATATACATCCTTATAGTACTAATATGGTTGATAGATTGCATGCTGGATAACAAACATCCATCTTATGATCTATCCCTCACATACCTCAAAAAGAAATTAATCAGGGCTTACAGATGCTTAGCTTTTGTTCATTTCTTCATCCAGCTCAGTTGTTGTATTCATTGTATAAATAATCTTTAGGAAAACATTTAATTTAAGTTGGTCATGTTGGTAATACAGACAATGGAATAACAGATAAAGAATGAAAGATAAAATACACTTTGATATGTGTTCCATACTCTTCATTTTGATATGCATATATATATATTGTAAGTCATGCATGTCATACATGCTGTTCTTGATAGATTACATGTATATTTAAAAGAGTTTTAACACTTGATATTGGATACAATTTTATAATGCCTTTCATGCTAAATACGGTTTAAATGAAGCACCCCTAAATATATTTGAATATTTATTATATCCCTGCTCTGAAGAAGGTGGTATACTGTTTTACCCATGTCTGTCAGTTAGTATATCTTTTTGTCCCTTTTCTCAGGAACTAGAAATCAGAGCTTCCTGAAATTATGTTCAAGCTTTATGTGAGCATGTTATGCCATGTGATGTGTTTTCAGATAATAATGCATCAACTTCCTGTTTACTGAATACTTGTATACATTTTTCCTATTACATATTGGCCATGTATGAAATTTTTGTAGCATTTTTCTAGGGAACTACAAATAAGAGCTTCCTTAAATTTGTTATCAGGCTTCAAATGAACATACTATATGTGTGATGCATTTTCACATTCATTGCTCATCAACTTCCTGTTTATGCTAATACTGATATATTCTTGCATATAATGACCATGTGTGAAAATTTCGTCACATTTTTCTCAGAATCTACAAATCAGAGTACCCTGCAATTTTGTATCAAAATTTATGTGAGCATGTTATTCAGTAAGATGGGTTTTCAAATCCTATGTTTTTCTACATCCTGTTTACCAATTTTCTTTAAGAGGGGGTATCATTAGTGAGCTATAAGGAATAAAACGGTTAACCACTAATTCATAGCCCAAAAGCTATCTATGTAAAATTCTGCAATTTCAAGCATTAATGACTACTTTGTCTTAAGTTCAAAATAAAGTGACAGTCATTTCATGTCAAAACTATACCTTATCCTGACTTGTGCTGAAAAATTCAACATACCTTTAATTGCATATTAGACGCACCAGTTTCCGGAAGTTTGATAGTACAAAAACAGGTACTTCCGATCTGAACAGCAGGGCAAATGTGCCCTCCTATTATAATTTCATATATTTATTATTCAAAATAAACTTTCAACAAGGGTCCTACAGTTATCTCAAGTCCTTAAGCTTTCATTTGATACCAAATTTACCCAAATATTTTACTAATTGATAAAGTAACAGCTATGCTTAGGAACTATTTTGTTTAAAATATGTACTACTTTCTTGTATGTTCTTCTGACCGGGCCCGAATTAGTACGTAGTTCTATACCATAACTCACAGTTTCACCTTATCAACTAGTTTTATTATATTTTCAGTGACACCGTACTACAAGACTAAATTGAAAGGCCTGTACAAGACAGCCATGCAGGATGCTGAAGTAGAAGCAGAGTAAGAGTTTTTTCTATGTATATTATATTGATGTCAAGCAGTGTAATCACAAACATATCATGTAGGAAGGGGTTGGGGTCATTTTTGCATTCTTTGATTTTTAATATTCATTATACTGGTAAAGATGGCGAATCTTTGTTTACCTCCAAAATCTCGTGCAAGTCGAGATCGGAATCCATACTCCATAAATAATTTTAATTTTTAAACTAAACGTTAATACTCTCTTATTCTAAGAAGTCTTCAAAAGAAAAAAACTAAATTTTTTTGAAAACTTTGCAGCAACAAGGACAACTGTTTGCTAATTCACAAAAATTAAAGCTGATTAGATTATCTGTATGATTACCTGTATACAGGTGATCGACATCCTAGGGATGTTTTTAATTCTAGATCACCTAGATGCTTGTGATGAAATCTAGTTAATGCAAATTATGTTCTTTTTATATGACCGCAAAAAAATTTTTGTGGTCGTATATTGGTATGACGTTGGCGTCGTCGTCGTCCGGCGTCGTTGTCGTCCAGCGTCGTCCGAAGACATATTAGTTTTCGCACTCTAACTTTAGTTTAAGTGAATGGATCTCTATGAAATTTTACCATAAGGTTCAATACCACAAAAGGAAGGTGGGGATTGATTTTGGGGGTTATGGTACCAACAGTTAAGGAATTAGGGGCCAAAAAGGGGCCAAAAATAAGCATTTTTGTAACTTCCAGACATAACTTGTGTGTAAGTGTATGGATCTCTCTGACATTGTACCACAAGGTTCCATATCACAAAGGGAATGCTGGGATTGATTTTGGGGGTAATTGCCTCCAAATTTAAGGAATAAGGGGCCAAAAAGGGGCAAAAAACAAGCATTTTTCTAGTTTCATGACAATCACTTGTGTGTTAGTGTATGGATCTCTCTGACATTGTATCACAAGGTTCCATATCACAAAGGGAATGCTGGGATTGATTTTGGGGGTAATTGCCTCCAAATTTTAGGAATTAGGGGCCAAAAAGGGGCAAAAAACAAGCATTTTTCTAGTTTCATGACAATAACTTGTGTGTAAGTGTATGGATCTTTATAAAATTGTACTACAAGGTTCCATATCACAAAGGGAAAGCTGGAATTGAGTTTGGGGGTAATTGCCCAAAAAGTTTAGGAATAAGGGGCTAAAAAGGGGCCAAAAATAAACATTTTTCTAGTTTCCAGACAATAACTTGTGTTCAAGTGTATGGATCTGTCTAAAATTGTACTGCAAGGTACCATACCACAAAGGGAAGGCTGGGATTGATTTTGGGGTTAATTGCCTCAAAATTTTAGGAATTAGGGGCCATAAAAGTGCAAAAAAACAAGCATTTTTCTAGTTTCAGGACAATAACTTGTGTGTAAGTGTATGGATCTTTATGAAATTGTACTGCAAGGTTCCATATCACAAAGGGAAAGCTGGGTTTGAGTTTGGGGGTAATTGCCCTAAACGTTTAGGAATTTGGGGCCAAAAAGGGGCCAAAAAAACAAGCATTTTTCTAGTTTCCAGACGATAACTTGTGTTCAAGTGTATGGATCTCTCTGAAATTGTACTGCAAGGTACCATACCACAAAGGGAAGGCTGGTATTGAGTTTGGGGGTGATGAATCATAAGGGGGTTCAAAAAATTTGGGGGGGGATTTTTTTTTCCTTTTTTTTCTTTAAAATTTTCCATTTTTGAATTGGTTATTTCTGATTTATATATAAAAGCAAATAAAAATAATATGGTTTGAATAGGTAAATTAAAAAATTTTAAGTTCTTAGACCACTTTCATTCTGTGTCAGAAACCTATGCTGTGTCAAATATTTAATTACAATCCAAATTCAGTGCTGTATCAAGCTTGAATGTTGTGTCCATACTTGCCCCAACTGTTCAGGGTTCGACCTCTGCGGTCGTATCAAGCTGCGTCCCAGCGGAGCATTTTATTAAATAAATGTTAATTCTCAATTTCTCACTGTTAGGTATAACTCTATTATTAAAAATCTCAACTTGGGAACAAATTGTTCCCTTTTTTAGCCTGTTCTCTATTCTTTATTTTCTAGCACTCCATTATCCTCTATTGTTTATATTTTTGGCTCAATTTTTTCCATTCTGTTATTCTGTCAAGACATTCATTTAGCTGTTCATTTAGACTCTAAATTTTAGAGGTGTAAGAATTGTGTTACCATATATACAAAAGAAACCAGTTTTTGAAAGGGCAAAGTTTTTATGATATCATGAGCTTAGGAAGAATAGAAACACCAGTATTTCCCATTGAAATTTGTTGGTGCTATCATACATGTGAACCTCCCGACGGGAGTACAATAATCCCGTTTTCAGGGGTCTCCTCCCGACCTCCTGTTGAAGAGAAAAAAATCCCGTGTATGAAATTTTTCATGAATGAAAAATTTCTGCCCAACATATCATCTCAGACATCTGGTGTAACTGACATTACCTGAAGTTATATTTTACCTGTAAATCAATAAACATGCATTATTATATGGCTTCACTTGTCAGCTTGGGTGTCAAACATACTGGTTAATCAACGATTTTTACCTCAGGCTAACTGCCGTTGTGTAATAAAAACTGTTTGTATTTATTGGGTTACTTCCCTTGATTTATCCTGTTTTAAGTTACTTTCCTTTAAATAATGTAAATTTTAAAAAGAATATAAATAAAATATAAGTTGAACAAATAATCATAAAAGGATGGTAATTAAAAGATTTTAAATCACTTAGGACAAATAAAAAATAAATAATTTGAAAATTATTTGAGGGTTCTATACTTCATTTCAAGTATATGCAAATCAAAGTAAATGCAACTGCAGATAGTTAAACAAATGTTCTGATTGCAATGATTGTACTATAGATAATGATATAAAAGATATGAATTAAAAAATTAAAAGAACATACTAAAAAAAAAGAATGTAAGATTGAACATGTGGAATATAAAGATAAAGAAACTTTATAAGTACAAGGGTACTATGAACATAATACATTCAGATGGAAAGTTGAAGAAAACACACTTTAAAAGACAATTTTTACAACACACGGTTACATTTACAACAAAATTTATGTTGATTAAAAACCTCCTGATCTGAGTCCTAATCTCCTGACCAAAATTTCCCAATCTCCTGATCTGAGTTTCACAATCCATCACATGTATGTGCTATTGGGGATGGGGGTCTGGGTTGGACATTAGAATGGTGTTCTATTATTCTATTATTCTATTTTCTTTTGTATCTTTGTATTACAAACACATAACAGATATTTCTTCTTCTCTTATTATAATATTATAAAACTGAAGTCAATAGAAACTCTCAAGAAGCACAGAATTGTGTGATTAAAGCCTTAAATAGCCATTAAAGGTACTGAAGTACAATAATATAGATTTGAGATACCTTTCTTTTTAATACAAAATAGCATAATACATGGGAGATAACTCTGTATTTCTTATGATTGCATGCCATCAGACTATTGATGGAGTATGATTGATGCACAGATGTATGAAACAAGTATTTTTTTGAAAATGTTATGCTTTTATAATTCAAATCCATGTTGTTAAGTGAAAAGCGAAAAGTCATTTGTAAAATTAATTAGTTTATGCCAAAGGGGTCTGGAAGTAAACGCAAAGTAATAGTTTTGTCACTGAAATTTTTGTGTCTAAAATTAGTTTCACCTCTTTTAAATTATATTTTTAGGCACTTGTCCATTGTAAAAATCAGCATATGATGATGTGTAGATAATTGTGTATTTTAACTAACTTGTATTGTTGACTTGCTCTCACATTGATATTTATCTTTTTTTTCCTTTAATTTTTATACGACCGCACGTATATTGGTATGACGTTGGCGTCGTCGTCGACGTCATCCGAAGACACATTGGTTTTCGCACTCTAACTTTAGTTTAAGTGAATGGATCTTTATGAAATTTTACCATAAGGTTCAATACCACAAAAGGAAGGTGGGGATTGATTTTGGGGGTTATGGTACCAACAGTTAAGGAATTGGGGGCCAAAAAGGGGCCAAAATAAGCATTTTTGTAACTTCCAGACATAACTTGTGTGTTAGTTTATGGATCTCTCTGAAATTGTACCACAAGGTTCCATATCACAAAGGGAATGCTGGGATTGATTTTGGGGGTAATTGCCTCCAAATTTTAGGAATTAGGGGCCAAAAAGGGGCAAAAAACAAGCATTTTTCTAGTTTCATGACAATAACTTGTGTGTAAGTGTATGGATCTCTCTCTGACATTGTACCACAAGGTTCAATATCACAAAGGAATGCTGGGATTGATTTTGGGGTTAATTGCGTCCAAATTTTAGGAATAAGGGGCCAAAAAGGGGCAAAAAACAAGCATTTTTCTAGTTTCATGACAATAACTTGTGTGTAAGTGTATGGATCTTTTTGAAATTGTACTACAAGGTTCCATATCACAAAGGGAAAGCTTGAATTGAGTTTGGGGGTAATTGCCCAAAACGTTTAGGAATAAGGGGCCAAAAAGGGGCAAAAAAACAAGCATTTTTCTAGTTTCCAGATAATAACTTGTGTTCAAGAGTATGGATCTCTCTGAAATTGTACTGCAAGGTACCATACCACAAAGGGAAGGCTGGGACTGATTTTGGGGGTATATGCCTGAAAATTTTAGGAATTAGGGGCCATAAACAGGCAAAAAAACAAGCATTTTTCTAGTTTCAGGACAATAACTTGTGTGTAAGTGTATGAATCTTTATGAAATTGTACTACAAGGTTCCATATCACAAAGGGAAAGCTGGGTTTGAGTTTGGGGGTAATTGCCCCAAACGTTAAGGAATATGGGACCAAAAAGGGGCCAAAAAACAAGCATTTTTCTAGTTTCCAGACAATAACTTGTGTTCAAGTGTATGGATCTCTCTGAAATTGTACTGCAAGGTACCATACCACAAAGGGAAGGCTGGGATTGAGTTTGGGGGTGATGAATCATAAGGGGGTTCAAAAAATTTGGGGGGGGGGATTTTTTTTTCCTTTTTTTTCTTTAAAATTTTCCATTTTAAATTGGTTATTTCTGATTTATATATAAAAGCAAATAATAATGATATGGTTTGAATAGGTAAATTAAAATTTTTTTAAGTTCTTAGACCACATTCATTCTGTGTCAGAAACCTATGCTGTGTCAAATATTTAATTACAATCCAAATTCAGTGCTGTATCAAGCTTAAATGTTGTGTCCATACTTGCCCCAACTGTTCAGGGTTCCACCTCTGCGGTATCAAGCTGCGCCCCAGCGGAGCATTTTATTTATAAATGTTATTTGTTTTTCAGACATTCTTTTTATTATGAATGAGAGAGAAATTTAATTCATTATCAACGTTGGCTTCTGTATAAAATGTGTAAATTAACATCTGTGATTTTGAAGTGTTGCAAATATTCAAATTGACTTTGATACTTTATTCCAATTTCATTCATTAACATTTCGAATAATTTCTCTTTTCTTTTCAGACTTTTAAGGAAAGCTTTAGATAAGATATCAGAGATAAAGTCTATCAGAGAACAAAGGAGAATTGGTTTGTATTGCCTATAACATATGTTAAAAATAACACATAAAATCAGTCCGTCTTTCTGTCTGACCGAAACTTTTTGTAAACCCAACTCCTCCAAAAGGAAGACACATTGTGAATGCAACTCCTCTGAGACCTTTTGACAGAAAACTCTCATACTTACTTGGATTGTTTGCCATCATGTGTAGTTGGCTATATATATAATGTCATTTTAATATGAACATTTTTATGGGAGCTATTGGACTCTTATTTATTATTACCTTTGTACCACAATGACACTTTTTAAACACAGTTCTTCTGACATAATATGACAAATAGCTCTCAAACTTGCCCCAACTGCACATGTGGTCTCGTAGTAGGATCAGAGATTGTAGGTTCAATCCCCTATTGGGTCATACCAAAGCTTTTAAAATTAGTAATTGCTGCTTCTTGGCTAGCTATAGGCAGGCAGCATTAAGGAGTAACAGCAAAGACTGGTCAGCTGGGAGTCAGAATAATGTATGTGGATAAGGCTGGAAAATCTTGATGTGGTCTGTTACCTTGTGAACTAGCACGTAAAAAATTCAACTCAGTGTGTCAGTCTAGTACAAAGCAGGGTCCATATTCATATTACATTAACATGTTCTCGTTCTGAATATGCATTTAACTTGCCACTGGACATTAAACAGCCATACATTCATCCATCAAACTTTCTACGATTGTGTTTGCTATTATATGTAGTTGACCATGTTAGGCTGTCATTTGGATTGGATTCCTGTTCTTCAACGTTTTATTTTTACTATCCTACCACAGTGATACTTGATCCTTTGACAGAAAGCTCTCATACTTGGTAGAATCGTTTGCAATCATATGTTAATGACCATATTGTACTGTCATTATGATCCCACCATTTTATGGGAGAAATGGGCAACTTACTATTTTTATACGACTGCAAAAAAATTTTGCGGTCGTATATTGGTATGACATTGGCGTCGGCGTACTCGTCGTCGTCCGGAGACACATTGGTTTTCACACTCTTACTTCAGTTGAAGTGAATGGATCTCTATGAAATTTTACCATAAGGTTCAATACCACAAAAGGAAGGTTGGGATTGATTTTGGGGGTTATGGTACTAACAGTTAAGGAATTAGGGGCCAAAAATAAGCCTTTTTGTAACTTCCAGGCATAACTTGTGTGTTAGTGTATGGATCTCTCTGACATTGTACCACAAGGTTCCATATCACAAAGGGAATGCTGGGATTGATTTTGGGGGTAATTGCCTCAAAGTTTTAGGAATTAGGGGCAAAAAAGATGCATTTTTGTCGAAAAAGCGAGACATAGCGATCCTACATTCCGTCGTCGTCGGCGGCGGCGTCCACAAATATTCACTCTGTGGTTAAAGTTTTTGAAATTTTAATAACTTTCTTAAACTACCCTGGATTTCTACCAAACTTGGACAGAAGCTTGTTTATGATCATAAGATAATATTCAAAAGTAAATTTTGTAAAAAAAATTCCATTTTTACGGTATTTTACTTATAAATGGACTTAGTTTTTCTGCCAGGAAACATTACATTCACTCTGTGGTTAAAGTTTTTGAAATTTTAATAACTTTCTTAAACTATCCTGGATTTGTACCAAACTTGGAAAGAAGCTTGTTTGTGATCATAAGATAGTATCCAGAAGTAAATTTTGTAAAAAAAAAATTCCATTTTTTCCGTATTTTACTTATAAACGGACTTAGTTTTTCTGCCAGGAAACATTACATTCACTCTGTGGTTAAAGTTTTTGAAATTTTAATAACTTTCTTAAACTATCCTGGATTTGTACCAAACTTGGAAAGAAGCTTGTTTGTGATCATAAGATAGTATCCAGAAGTAAATTTTGTAAAAAAAAGAATTCCATTTTTTTCATATTTTACTTATAAATGGACTTAGTTTTTAAAGGCAGTGCTTTAATGCCTTTCTAGTTGCCGTGTTAATATTTCTTACCGCGATATCCAACTTATCTACGTGGGGGGTCATTAGGGCCCAAGTAGATCCGGAAAATGTTGATTCTCTCCTCTTCTTATTGTGGTATAAAATGTTTTTTGTCTCATTTCATTTACATTGGGAAATAGAGAAACGATCATTGTGTTTTGTTAGTTTTAAAAACTTTTGATATATTTGTATTTTACATTATAAGCAGTCAACCGATTGACAAACTAGAATTATTTGAATTCCGTGTGGAAAGAGGTCGGGTTAATTTCGAGTGTTATCTGCAATCTAGATGTTTATAAATCATTTCAGTCGTTGATATAATAATTAAAGGTCGACTGAACATGAATTATATTATACAATTGAAAGCGCATTTCTGTTTATGCACGCGAACCCGTCTAACGTTATTGTTATTTCGCAGTTTTATAAAGTAGCAAATTATCGTTCCTGAATAGGTGGCGCCGTGGTAGCCGATCCTGTACTTCAACTTCCGGTTTCTGCACTGTGCAACTATTACAGTTGCATTTTTAATTAACGATGCCAAGTACTTGTTGTTGTGTACCTGGATGTCATTTAAGAGGAGGACATGCATTTCCAAATGACTTAAAAAGAAGGAAAAGTTGGATCAACGCCATGGCCCATACGCAGATTGGACGAGAACACGATGAAATCGTGGAGTCCATCTCAATCAGCTGTTGTTTGCAAGGCACATTTTACTGAAATAGACTACGTGCAGGAAACTATTTATGGTAAAACTCTATTTTCTTTTTAAAATATATAGTTAAATATGTAATCGCCATGCGAATAAACCAAAGTCTGTTTACAACCGCAATTATCGTTTTAGAATAAAAGGGGGTGGTTAATTCACATGATTTAAGACGTCATAATTTTTTGGATTACGCTTCAATGTGATCTGTTTGAGATTTTTTGGTGCTTGCTACAATTATAATGATTTCTTACAAGAGGTATATCATACTGAGAATTATTTTAGCAGTAATTATGCTAATGTAGTAATGACAGGAATGCATAAGCTATGCCTCATAGACTTTCTTGAAAAATATCAATGACAATGTTAACAGGAACAAAACAATGACATGCTCTCATCTATATTATAGTTATTTAGGTACAAACAATGTATGTTTGTTGCATACGTCTCTCATTGTTTGTCCTTTGGATTTACATACATTGTAACATACATTTTGATGTACATTGAATCAGGCTAACATAGTTTTATCCAGATTGTAATGAATAAATCTAGTTAATATTTTGCCAGGTAGTACAAAGGAATTATAGTTATCTCGTACCATTGTAAACTCGTACCAATGTCAACTCGTACCACTAAACAAAAACTCGTACCAATGCAAACTCGTACCACTGCTAACTCGTACCACGGTAAATTCATACCATTGTAAACTCGTACCAACTTATTTAAATGAATTCAAATGGTGTTTAATGATGAATATATACTTTAATTTCGCTCAATACCTCTTAAGTCTGTAAAATGTATATAATTTGAAATTACAATAACCAATTTGTAGCTAATTTTCCTTGTCTAATTGGATAGAGAAAACCGTGGCAGATTGGCTTTGTTGTCTCCCTTGAATTGACTCTTTTTTAAACTTTTACTGACAACTATTTGATTTAATTTTTAATCATTCCAAATCAGTAACATTGAATAGATTTGGGTATTTTTCTATTGTTTCTTAAAGGAATTTTATTTAATGAAAGAATTTATTGATTGTGTTTTAAAGGTTTAAAATTGTTTATGACCAACAGTTAGAAAGTATGAAATTTATTTTTATACAATATTCAGCACATTTCAGCAGAATATGACCATGCTTATATGATTATACAAGTTGATTAGTTAAAGATAAAAAAAAACAAGTTGATTAGTTAATAATCAACCAATAATCACACAATCAAAGGAATTTAATATATTTATTAGCATGGTAATTAAGAAATTACATTCACATTTTTGTCTAAGTTTTCATTAAAATCTGGTATAAATTTCAAAGATATTTTAATTTTTTGTATAAAGCTTAAAAAAAAAATAATCATAAAACATTCGTATTTTTGTCTAAGTTTTCATTAAAATCTAGTATAAAATTCAAGTAATACAACTTTTTTTATTTAGTTTACCAAAAAAAAAAATCATAAAACATTCGTATTTTTGAATATATTTTTAATGGTACAAGTTCTGATTGGTAAAACTTCCCAGTGGTACGAGTTTACGTTGGTACGAGTTAACTTTTTTGGTAAAAGTTTACGTGGTACGAGTTTACAATGGTACGAGTTAACTTGCTTCCGTACAAAGTATGCATTGCTAATGGAAGTTCATTTAATAATCAAAAAACTAATGTTTTATAACCTTTTTCAGGGCACAAACCCACCATACAGAGACTTAAGTCTACTGCCAATCCCAGCCTATTTTCCTGGACCAAGCAAGAGACTGAATCGTCCGCAAAAAGAAAAATCAGGGCAGTTTCCTGTGAAAACAAAAGAACTAAACTTGATGAATATTGTAGTAGAAATCTAGAGGAAAGTTTTGATTGTAAAGTTGGTTTTCCTGAAAAAGTAATTCATACTGCAGACAGGATTTATGACTGTCCACCACCAACTGCCGAGCTAATGTTGAGCTTCACAGATGGAATTACGCAAACACCATCAATGCCTACGGTATATTTTCAGCAGAGAATTTTGAAATGAAGACACGCGACACAGCCATGCATTTTTATACTGGTTTAGAGTTGTATACTAAATTTTTATTTGTTTTGACCACACTTGGTCCAACAGCACATTGTTTGAGATACATATATTTTCAAATTGATAGGGTGTCATTTGAAAATCAGTTTTTTTATGACTTTGATGAAATTGATGCATTATACAACCAACTTTGAACTGTCAAGATTCTAGATTGAAACTAGTGTTAAGAATATTGTGTAAACATGGATTGTTTTTATGTCTAAACAGTGGCGTGAGGCTAACACTTGGCCATTTAGTGGTTTAGTCAGGTATTTTTCGCCATCCAACTTCAAATTAAAGTTTCCTACAACTGGTGGATTATTATTGACAGCACAGAATATCCTGTGATAAAACCTAAAGCTCCTAGAGCTCAGGCAACCTTTTCATCATATAAAAACAGAAACACTGAAAATACTTGTATGTTCGACACCTGGTGGTTTAGTCAACTATGTCTCTAATGCATATGTTGGTTGTACCAGTGACTGTGAAATAGTTGAAAGATGTAGAATAGTTCAATTATGTGATCCAGGTGACAGTGTGATGGCAGACAAAGGTTTAAATGTGCAAGATTTGTTTGCTCACTTTTTTCAAAAAAAGAAACAGAATTAGTTCCAAAACTCTTATACGGGATAGAAAAGTCTCCAATTAACACGTGCACATACATGTAGAGCTAATTATTGGACTTGGCAAAACATACAAAATTCTAATAAATCCTATGAATGGAACTGAAACAAAACTTTCATCTGAAATAACATTTAGTTGTTTTATGTTGTGTAATTTTAGAACTTGTATTGTGCCAAAGGATGCATAAATAAAAGTGACGCAATGAAGTTTGTTCTGATATATATATAAAAATATTATTTACAATTACATGCACATGTAAATTGTAATGCATATAAAAATAAGGAGATGTGGTATGATTTTCAGTGAGTTTATCGAACCAAAGTGCATAAGAAATGGGTTAAGCAGTTACAGGTGTTACTGTCACCATACAATCTCCAACAATTAGAAAAACTTGTACCATGTAAAAAATTTCAGAGATCTTACAACTAAGTTTTGTTGTCTCACCTTGACTTTGGTGAATTGTTTATATCTGTTGATGTAGATATAAAAAAGAAGATGTGGTATGATTGCCAATGAGACAACTCTCCACAAGAGACCAAATGACACAGAAATTAACAGCTATAGGTCACAGTACGGCCTTCAACAATGAGCAAAGCACATACCGCACAGTGAGCTATAAAAGGCCCCGAAATGACAATGTAAAACAATTCAAACAAGAAAACTAACGGCCTAATTTATGTACAAAAAAATGAACGAATAACAAATATGCAACACATAAACAAACGACAACCACTGAATTACAGGCTCCTGACTTGGGACAGGCACATACATGTACATACAGAATGTGGTGGGGTTAAACATGTTCGCGGGATCCCAACCCACCCCCTAACCTGGGACAGTGGTGTAACAGTACAATATAAGAGCGAACTATAAAAATCAGTTGAAAGAGACTTAACTCATCAGATGGATAAATACAAATACAAGTGGACGTGGCCGGGTAGTTGTACATCCAAATAACAAAAAGACACTAAGTACAGATCTGAGAGTACTCGCATTTACTGACAGCTAGTTCAAAGCCACAAACAACTGATAAAAAAATCTTGCATCTAAGACTAAATTATCGATCCGTAAGCTCCCTCTAGAATTTTATCAATTTAAGATTTTACATTTCTGAGTTATGGGGTTTTATTCATTAAAAAAGGGGGGATTTTCCAGTTTTTGGACAACAACTCAAAAATGCTTTAAGCAGTTCACATGAAACTTTGGTGAATTATTTATAGCTATTGATGTAATCTCCCTATTGATTTTCATAAATTTCAAATATGACATTGAGAAGAAATTGAACTTTATTTGTTTATAGTCTGGCAACAGATTTATTAAGTATTGCGCAACAGCACAGTGTATTGCACAACAGCAAGAAATCTTTAATTGAATATAAATTCAATTCATATAACCGATTTCAAGTTCTTTGACTACATTTATTCAGAAACTATAATATGTCAAATATTTAATTACAATCCAAATTCAGACCTGTATCAAGCTTGAATATTGTGTCCATTTTTGCCCAAACTGTTCAGGGTTGGACCTCTGTGGGTCTATCCAGCTGCGCTCAGCGAATCAGTTTATTACTTAATTAAGAACTCCTTTTTGTTGAGCCTGCGACTTTTGTCGCAGAAAGCTCGACAGGGATAGTGATCCGGCGGCGGCGTTAGCTAACTTCTTAAAAGCTTTATATTTTAGAAGGTGGAAGGTCTGGATGCTTCATACTTTGTATATGGATGCCTCATGTTACGAAGTTTCCGTCAGTCACATGCCCAATGTCCTTGACCTCATTTTCATGGTTCAGTGACTACTTGAAAAAAAAGTTAAGATTTTTTGTAATGTTAAATTCTCTCTTATTATAAGTAATAGGATAACTATATTTGGTATGTGCATACCTTGCAAGGTCCTCATGCCCGTCAGACAGTTTTCAATTGACCTCGACCTCATTTCATGGATCAGTGAATAAGGTTAAGTTTTGGTGGTCAAGTCCATATCTCAGATACTATAAGCAATAGGTCTAGTATATTCGGTGTATGCAAGGACTGTAAGGTGTACATGTCCAACTGGCAGGTGTCATCTGATCTTGACCTCATTTTCATGGTTCAGTGGTTATAGTTAAGTTTTTGTGTTTTGGTCTGTTTTTCTTATACTGTATGCAATAGGTCTACTATATTTGGTGTATGGAATGATTGTAAGGTGTACATGTCTAGCTGGCAGGTGTCATCTGACCTTGACCTCATTTTCACGGTTCAGTGGTCAAAGTTAAGTTTTTGAGTTTTGGTCTTTTTTTCTAATACTATATGCAATAGTTCAACTATATTTGGTGTATGGAAATATTTTATGATCTATATGTCAGTCACGCAGGTTTTTTTTTACCTTGACCTCATTTTCAAGGTTCATTGCTCAGTTTTAAGTTTTTGTGTTTTGGTCTGTTTTTCTTAAACTATAAGCAATAGGTCAACTATATTTGTTGTATGGAAGAATTGTTAGCTGTACATGCCTGCCTAGCATGGTTCATCTGACCTTGACCTCATTTTCATGGTTCATTGGTCAATGTTTAATTTACTTGGTTAATGTTAAGTTTATGTGACAGTTGTAATAAAGCTTTATATTTAGGACTATCAACATAATATCAATGATTAGTAAAGAAGGCGAGACATTTCATCGTGTGCACTCTTGTTTCATTCATAAATTACTTTATACTTGGAAATGTAATTTTGCTTGGAGTTATAGTTTCTAAAAAAAGTATTGTCATTGAAAGAGTTGACATGTTGCAATGTACATTTATTCTACATAGTTCTATGGTACCAAATCAAAAGTTTATATTAAAGAAAGAAGTCAAAGGTTTCCCATCATAGTTTAGTTACATACATTTTTTTTGTACCTGAGGTCGTTGAATATAGATCATTATATAAATAAGGAGATGTGTTATGATTGCCAATGAAACAACTATCATCCATACATTGTACTTACCAGTAACAAACCACATTTGCAAAGTTGAATAAAATACAGTTGATAACATTTACTTATTACTAAAAAGAAAATGCCAAACTATTTTAAACAGTATTTGACTATAAACATAGATAAAAAAGGTACAAACTGGACATAATGCACTAGTTCATAAACAAGTGAGAACAATCGCCTTCATATAGTGCTCAGAATATGACATTCATAAAACTTGTTCAATATCATTAGAGAACTCTAAATCTTAAATACTGAAAGCCACCTCTGATAAGTACAATGTACTATGCAAGATAATGATATAACTGGATAAAAAATACACACAACCTGTAATTAACTGCCTTTACAGCGCTTTCGCGCTTTGATTCTGCCAGTTAACATTACATTCACTCTGCGGTTAAAGTTTTTAAAATTTTAACAACTTTCTTGAACTATCCTGGATTTGTACCAAACTTAGAAAGAAGCTTGTTTATGATTAAAAGCTAGTATCTAAAAGGAAATTTTGTTAAAATTTTGTTCCATTTTTTCCGTATTTTACTTATAAATGGACTTCGTTTTTCTTCCAGTTAACATTACATAACAGTCTGCAGTTTAAGTTTTTATTTTAAAACATTTATTAGATTCATAAACTATCCTGGATTTTTACCAAACTTGGACAGAAGCTACTTACAATCAAAAGATAGTATAGAGAGGAATATTTTTATTAATTTTTTTCCTCATTTTTGTTGAGCCTGTGATTAACAGCAGAAGTAGGCGAGACACTGGGTTCCGCGGAACCCTTACGAATTTTTCTAGTTTCATGACAATAACTTGTGTGTAAGTGTATGGATCTTTCTGAAATTGTACTACAATGTTCCATATCACAAAGGGAAAGCTTGAATTGAGTTTGGGGGTAATTGCCCAAAACGTTTAGGAATAAGGGGCCAAAAAGGGACCAAAATTAAGCATTTTTCTAGTTTCCAGACAATAACTTGTGTTCAAGTGTATGGATCTCTCTTAAATTGTACTGCAAGGTACCATATCACAAAGGGAAGGCTGGGATTGATTTTGGGGGTAATTGCCTCAAAATTTTAGGAATTAGGGGCCAAAAAGGGGCAAAAAACAAGCATTTTTCTAGTTTCAGGACAATAACTTGTGTGTTAATGTATGGATCTTTATGAAATTGTACTACAAGGTTCCATATCACAAAGGGAAAGCTGGGTTTGAGTTTGGGGGTAATTGCCCTAAATGTTTAGGAATTTGGGGCCATAAAGGGGCCAAAAAACAAGCATTTTTCTAGTTTCCAGACAATAACTTGTGTTCAAGTGTATGGATCTCTCTGAAATTGTACTGCAAGGTACCATGCCACAAAGGGAAGGCTGGGATTGAGTTTGGGGGTGATGAATCATAAGGGGGTTCAAAAAATTTCGGGGAGGGGAGGGGATTTTTTTTCCCTTTTTTTCCTTTAAAATTTTCCATTTCAAATTGGTTATTTCTGATTTATATATAAAAGCAAATAATAATGATATGGTTTGAATAGGTAAATTAAAATTTTTTAAGTACTTAGACCACATTCATTCTGTGTCAGAAACCTATGCTGTGTCAAATATTTAATCACAATCCAAATTTGGTGCTGTATCAAGCTTGAATGTTGTGCCATACTTGCCCCAACTGTTCAGGGTTCGACCTCTGCGGTCGTATCAAGCTGCGCTCAGTGGAGCATTTTATTATTTACTGTTGAGCCACTATGACATTATGTTTTGACTATAGCGCATAAGAACAAATACAAAAACTCCAAATACACTTTATATGGAAATCTATGTTCCTTTTCTACAGTTCTGAACTGAACAGACAACTTCACTCCTCATTTACACAGGGTGGGACATTTTGCTCTGGCATAGCAATCTTGCAATAAATGCAAATTAAAAAACATTCCACCTGTGTTTTCTAAATAAGAATTTTACAGTGTAGTGTCCTCATTTTGGTACAAATTATATTCAAACTATAGTCAAAACTCAGAACTCAACTCAAAATATGAACAATTTTATGTTAAAGGGGTCTATAGTTCAGATTGATAGCTTCAGACTTCAACAGAACCAAATTTTGATGCCAAATTAGAGTTTTGACCCTAATTTCACGGTCCACTGAACATAGAAAATGATAGTGTGAGTGGGCATCTGTGTACTATGGACACATTCTTGTTTACATATGCATTTGTTATTTCATTACCCTACTTACTATTTTATGCATAAAATATAAAGAAATAAATTTTAAAGGTATATGAAAAATATGGAAATTATACACTGTCCCCACTAGAGAAAATATTTGTTGACAACGAAAATGAAAAAATCATAATTGTGTCCCTGGACCAACTTGCTTGAAAGTTTTGTGCCTATGTCTCCCAATTATTTTAATATCAATGATATTTAATTAAAAGTTAAGCTGATAAAACTTCTGAGAGATAAACACACAAAGAATACCTCCGAATTAATGATAGTTGGTAATTCTTCGTTTGATTATACACAAAGCTTATTACTGTACAGTAAATAATTTAAACAAAACAATTACAATTTTTATTTAAAAAGATAGTAATAAAACATTTAACGATTACTCATTCAATATTTTTTATACATTTTTTTAACATCTTTTTAAAAGCTAAAGATTGCAGAAAAGCAAACATTACAAATATTTCTAACCATCATTGACTGTCATTCATTGTAGCCAATACACAACCATCAAGACAGTATTCAGGTCAATTTAAAAGCTACACAGATTTTATAAAGTTGACTGTACACTGACAAATTTGTGCAAGGTTCAAATGAAAACAATAAAACATAACTTCATTTCCTAATTTCACAAGCTGATTTCATTCTAAAATAAAACCCTTTACATTTTGTTCAATGAAGTTTTACTCTAGTTTTTCATTCTAAGAAAACTATCGGAAAATTATCTAAGATGTACAATAAAAGTTCTCATTGTAAAAAGGAATGTTTTAACAAAACTAAGTGATATGCTTTCTACTACTATTTACAAGAACAGACTTAACATAAAAATGAAGATATATATACATGATATATAACAAATCTAAGTGATATGCCTTTCTGCTATCATTTACAAATCAGATTTTGACATAAAATGTTTCATAAATCAAAAAGTATGTGTAAAGTTTTGTCAGATTCTCTAAATACATATGGTTTGTTGATATCTGATATATAAGTTGAATGATCCCAACAGAGGACAATAGCAATTGTATTTATCCAATGGGACAATTCACCTTCCAAGAATTTAATTACCCTGACCAACATTAACTGATTATAATGAAAGGTTTTATTTACTTTTCAATAAATAACATAATAATGTTTCAAGTATTAATTAAAAACATAAAATGTTCAACAACTAGACAGCATTCTTTTATCAACCTGTATTTAACAACTAAACACCATTCTTATATCAACCTATATGTTAAACAACTAAATACTATTCTGCATCTTCATCGTTCTTATTCACTACAGCATTCCAAGCTTTTCTTTAGAGTCAAAACTGTGAAAATTTACTACTTGTAAATCAACTAAATTTAATGGCTGAATCTGTTGAACATTGACTTTTTTAATGATTTTTTTTTTCCAATATGGATGTTTTTTTCATTATTATTTTTTCAGACGATCATTCAGTTGTATTAAACAGCTCAATATAGTGAAAAGGACAAACAAATAAGGGTAAGAGTGTACTTCTGCACTTCTTAAGAGTAAGAATTTGCCCTACATGAGGTAATGTTGTTGCTATGTTATTTTCAGCTGATTCAGATAGACCTAAGCCTATAATGAGAAGGGGTGTACTTATGTCTATGTTACAACAGAATGCCAGCACACTGCCATTGTGGGTTAGCAAGCCTGGAGAAAAGTAAGTTTTGATGATGAAAGGTGTACTTATTATTACTAGGTAAAAACTTATTGAATATTTTATAGGTCTTATTTTCAGATAGATATGAGCACTGAATAAGGAATATGAAACATTTCTGTAAAAATAGTTTGAACACTCTGTTTTTACGGCCAAGCAAACCCTTATAAAATGTCCAAATATATCATAGATACAATTCCTTATAAAAATAGATAAAACAAATGTCTTAAAAGCATACAACACAAAAAATAACAAAATATATGAATATTAAATATTTTAAAAATACAAAACCAATGAATATTTTGGATAAATTAAATATCCTTCAGTAGTATCAACTACCTGATCAGTGTAAACTGGCTACTACATGTAGTTCTTGTCTAAAATCCTGAAAATTATACATTAAATGACCCTTAAGTATGGAGACATATTGAGACAAAGTCTTCTTTAATCTTAAAAATTATTGCAGCAAAATAAAGATGGAGGAAAATTTTAACCACTTAAAGAAGAAATCAATATAATATAAAACAATGCAACATATGTACAATCTACAACAGGGAACAAAAATACCTATACCCACTGGCCCCTATGGGAATTTTGTTATACATATCCTCTAGGTGCTTCATTGGAGACTATTTGGAATGATTTTACCAAAGGGGTCAATGTATACGGATATTGTATTATTGGATTATACATGTTAAAAATAAAGATATAAGCTGGTTATAAGTCAAGAGACATTTTTGTTCTGAGATCATGATCATTTACTTGATTTTAAAATCTTCTTTAATTAATGACTAGGTAAAAAAATCAGCTCAACTAGAGTAGACAAATGAAGTACAGAACACTTATGTTGCAATTTAGACATATAAAAATGTAATGAAACATAGGATAGCAGGAGCTGGTTATAAGTCAAGAGACATTTTTGTTCTGAGATCATGATCATTTACTTGATTTTAAAATCTTCTTTAATTAATGACTAGGTAAAAAAATCAGCTCAACTAGAGTAGACAAATGAAGTACAGAACACTTATGTGGCAATTTAGACATATAAAAATGTAATGAAACATAGGATAGCAGGAGGTTGCAAAATTTCACAAGTTTCAGATACTGTGGATTTGTTTGATGCCTTTCTTAAATATATAAGGGATTTTGGAGAAACCAGAATTACGATATCTGACTAAGTACAAATTTTAAGTTACTTGATAGGAACTTATAATAAAAAAACTAAATTTAATTAAAAAGCAAATATTTCTCCAACCACAAAATTGACACCAACAAAATAATAAATGAATAAGCTCTTTTATATATAGTTTGTAATTTTCAAAATATAAAAAGTCTATATCTGAGAAGTCAAAAGGTTGATCTGTGATAAGATTATCGTCATCATTATATGATTGTCCATTCATAGAACTTCTTCTCCCTCTGGTCACCATGTCTGTGTTGGGTAAGATGCTATCCATTAAATCATTGGTTGAATCACTGTTCATAATGTTTCCATTGTCAAAGATAGACAACAGAGACTGTAAATCATCATTGTTCAATGGGATGTCCTCAAACATTTTGTCATCATGGTATTCAGTGTTCATGTTATTGTTATTAGATGCTGTATTTGATGAGTTTTCTTCTGTCACAGCCTGTTTGATATGGGCATCTGGAGATAATATACCAGTAGTCATTTCTGGTGAACTGCAAAAAAGTTAAAGTTTTAAAACATCAATAACTTTGACAAACCTTCATTGAAGTGTTTGAATCTTAAACAGAATGTTCTTTGTGAACAAGATATAGAAATGGAAGCAAAAATTGGAATTTTATTTTAATTTTTGAATTTTTTACAGAGTATTGGACAATTTGTTTTCTAGTTTTACAATTAGAAACAATCGAGGCAAAAAGTTTTTGAACATCAGAAAATTTTGTAAACCTTCTGCTTCATAGAATATCAGGAAAAAAACATAAACAGAAGCTACCAAATGGCCACCTAAAGTAAACTTTAGATTTTGTTCTCCATTTTCCAAAATTGTTCTTATAAATGGACTTGGTTCTTTTTCTTGCAGTCAACATTTAGGTTAAGTCTGTGAAAGATTTAAATCTTGAATAACTTTGTCACTTTGCTTACAGTTTGACATAACTAATAAGTAATGGATGAAATGAACAAATATTGAACCTAATAACCTGCAGTTGTAATGTTGATTTATCTCAGATGACTGATATGTGCCTGATATCTTCATATCTGTACCCAATTCACTTTCCACTGGACACTTTGTTGAATGTCTGCTCTTCTGAATACATTCATTTTTATAGGAACCAGGCAATGGGTTATGGATAGATTCATCATCTGAAGCATTAACTGGTTTGATAGTAGAAATCTCAGTATATTCCTCTAGTTCTGGTATTTCACTTACAAAAATTTCAGATTTATCACAAGTGGCAAAATTCTCAATGGTATATTCACAGTCATTATTTTCTTTTGTTATACCAGTGGGATTAAGTATGTCATTGTTGGTTTTTTCCTCTGGTTCATCGTCTAAATTTTCATTTAGCATCACATTTTCATGCTGGTACTCATCTTTTGTTTCTTCTAAACTTGCATGTTCTTGTTTTTTTCTGTGCATCTTCATATTGTACCTCTTTGAATGTAGAAAAGTCAGGTTTATAGCCATGAGTTTTTACCTTGATTGGTTCTCCATTCAATGTAATTTTTATCTTGAATAACAAATTTTTACAGAAATTAGTGTCAGTTAATTAACACCATTATTAAGCAACTCATAAAATAATCCCATCATTTTTTTTATTATAAATTCAATTGATATCATTAGAAATTAAAGTTATGATTTGAAGTCTAAATGAAATCCAGTTTCAGTAATGTAAATTCAAATTTTTTTGTGTGCGTTTATTATTGCGATTGTTGGACAATTAATAAAAATGCAAGGTTAATTATCATGATTATTGCAATTTCAGAAAATTTCAACACATTTGTTTTAGATGGTTTATTGTTTTCATATAAACTCTTTAGCACATTGATCAAGGGGGCCTCGGTGGCCAAGTGGTCTAAGTAGTTCTACTACTATAATCACTAGCCAGTCAACACTGAGGTTGTGAGTTCGAACCCCGCTCATGCAGGTGCACTTGACTCCAATCTTAATTGACTAAGATTGTCAGTTTTCCTTTCGAAGGTCATGGTTTCTCCAGGCACTCCGGCTTCCTCCACCAATAAAAACTGGCCGCCACGAAATAGTCCAAAAGTGGCGCTTAAAAGTGGCGTTAAAACACCAACAATCAATCAATCAATCACATTGATCAATATTAATATGGTGGCATGAATGCAAGTAGATTGGTATAGTTCATTGATGTTTTCTGAGTGTTATAATATTATATCTTAGTAGATTCGTTTTCGATCTTGCCAAACAAAATTAAAGAGAGCAGAAGTATTTATAGTACTCTTGTACTCCCATTTAACAACAAAATGGTGCATTATGGTGTATACAAATAGTAGATGCCTTAAAAGAATGAAGATATCTATTTCCAAATGTCACAGTCATTATAACACACCTCACACCTCATTGATTGAGCTGCAAATAAAAATGTAGTAGCTCAAATTATATCGTACCCATATTTCCATTTCTGTCCTCAACTTTTTTTCTTTAGGTGAAACCTTTGCATCTGTAGCCTGAAAATTTTAAGACTTAGTTTAAGGAATGTCAATAAAAATATACATTTAATTAATGCATGCAATTTTCAAAATAAGAGTTTTAAGGGTTTTTGAGATGCAGATTTCTAAGTTTAATTTTGCTGACAGGAGTACAGGAGTAGCCAGTGCCAAATAGAAAAACAAATCATATAAAAGATATGCAAATGTATATAATTGGTACATTATTCCTTTTTATTTTCATGTTTATCAATGTTCATAGAAAGCTGTTTTATTTAATCCAGTTTTTTTCTTGTTTTTTGTATAAACAAAATTAATATTCAGTGAATAAGAAAATGAAGATATATATCTGTCAAGAATTCAGTGTATTATGATCTTTGAAGTAAAGGTCTAAGTAAATGTAATATTAAATTGATACTGTAAAAACATTGGAATCATCCAGATTACACAAAGGACAAATACTCTTGTTCTGAAATTGATCAACATATAAGAGATATCCTTCTTTAATAGTATACTCAAACTAGTTTACCTTTTGGACAGCCCTGTATTTTTGTGCAGTTTCCAATTCAGAAATCCCATCATTATTTCTTGGCATCTTCACATTTTTTGTTTTTTCAGTGGTCTCTGAGTCTTGGTTTTTTCTTTTCTGCAAAAAAAACTCTTTTAAAATTATATAAACATGCAACTTTTTCATTTATCTTTTCCTCTGAAATCTCTTGGCCAATTAAAACCAAACATTGAGGGGGATTATTTCAATTTTATGTTGGTTTACCTGAATGTATTTGGCCACTATTGCTTTATACAGAACGTATTGGCAAAATTAGATTGGAAATTTAATTAAAAAATCAGAAAAGTTATGAAAAGGACCAATTGCAAAAAATCCAAACTTTGGTTAAATGTAAAGGACCAATTGCAAAAATCCAAACTTTGGTTAAATGTAAAGGACCAACTGCTAAAAATCCAAACTTTGGTTAAATGATACAAATAATGGTTGGTGATCCCATCTGTTATCAAACAAGGTTACCACCACTAGTAAATAAGAGACAGTAGCAGTTTACCAAAGTTATCAAAATAGAAATAGAAAACGGGACCAAAAAAATCAACTTAAAACTCTGTGTCAATCATGTGATGGACCAGTTACAACCAAAATTTTATTAAATAATAAATTTAACTGATTTCATTTGTGTAAGGTTTACGACTCTATCTGCCTTCAAACATTGCTGAAAGTGTTACTTAAATTTTTTTTTTTTATAGAAACATTAATATAATTATCCCCATTTTATTCCAACCAAATAACAAAGGATCAATTTTGAAATGCAATGGAAAATTTATAGAAATCCTGTATTGGGCCTGCTAATTCCTTTTGAACTCAAAGAGATTGAATATATTGAATGAGTTATTGATAATGGCTGAGATCTTGATGAGCCTTTAAAGACTGCAGATTATCATGATTATATTTGACACAACTGAAAACAACAAAAAATTCAACCCAAACTAAAAATTTGCAAAACTGATTTATAAATCGGTAGTGATGACAATACTCTCAAACAATTAACTATACATGTAAAGTGAATTAAGCATTGTTAGAATCTTACCCTTGAAGTGGAAGTAGGATCTGACTGTAAACTCAATGTTCTGCAGTTATCACTCAACAAGTAAATGCCTTTCTCTTCCAACATTGATGTGACATTACAAAGAGAACAATCAGATTGCAGAAGACTCAGGTTTTCCTTTATAATAGTTAAATCATGATGAAGAACATACTCCTCAAGCAGATCTTCCTGCTTTTTGGTATCTTTGATCCAAGCTTCACATGCTTTAATGTATGATTTGAATTCCTGAGGTATCCAATTTCCTTGGTCTCTTTTACTATAATAATCTAAAAGGTCTTTGAAAAATATTTTGATGTCATGACCACTCTTTTCGTTGTATGGTTTTTGGAATTTTTCATATTCTGCTGACCAGTCCAGTGGAATAGTATACTTTCCCCTTTTGGATTCTTTATTTACATGTTTACAGAGAGCAGAAGTTATGTAGCGACAAGCTTCCCAACAAAGATCAGCCTTCCTTCTTTCTTCTTCTGTAAAATCAATTGATAACCATATCTGGAAGGATGCATAATTTAATTGTATTCCAAGTTCTACCATTTTCTCATCTATTGCAACTCTTTTTGCATATCGCATAATTCTTTTTAGGTTAGATGTGATGGCATTTACTTTTTCTATAGTGGTTGAGATAAAATGCAAATGAAACAACTTGTTAAAATCACATGATCCCCAAGCAGTTACTTCTTTACAGATCTCACTTATATCACATTCTTGTTCTTTGCAGCAAGCAACTAAAATGTCTATCAGTGCTTCTATTTCTATGGACTTGTATGTACAACTATAGATCTTTTCTTTAGAATGATCATACAGATAAAAAGCAGGCTCTGTTGTCCACAAATTATTCGGGCTTTTCTTTGCTTGTTTTCCTTCAAAGACTTTTAGAAGTTTTGTACATAATTTCTTAGTAACTGGTCGTAATTTTTCAGAAAATGTCTGTCGTAAAGGACCTGGATTATTTTCTACATCATGTGAAATCCATAAGAGACGTTCAGCTGCATTATTATATGAATATTTCAGAATCCAAAACTTCATTAGTTTTTTCCCTTCTGCATCATTTATTGTGATAGAAGACAAAATTAAGTGTGCCACAAGAAGGGACATTGGAATAGCAGGATTTATATAAACAAATTTGCACATTAGAAGTTCTCTTATCAGTAGTTGATATTTGAGAACTATTTCTGAACTAATAAATATGTTTTTCTTTGAATTGTTTTCAACAAATACAGGTAAATATATTTGTAAATTATATTTTTTCCCTCTAACATGTCTAAGTCCCCTGGAATGTGCTTTCATTTCATTACACTGTTTTCTATGAATATTGATTGTTAAGTCTGTGTTCTTTGGTGAAGCTTCACTTTCTCCATACATTACTATTTCTCTTAAATTGTCTGGAATAATGATATTTGAATTCAAATGGGGATCTATCTTTTTAGCTATATATTCAAGCCATAGAATCGAATTGCACAAGTCAATGAGCATATAAGGCTTAGACATAGGTAAAACTAAAACGAAGGCTAAATTCCCTGATTTTTCCTGATTTGTTTTCAGTATCATTGTATCATAACTCTTGTATATGGTCTCAGTATTAAGATTTTCTAAACAGACCTTGAAATGATGAATTCTCAAATGGGCAAAATATGGTTGAATACTGTAATGACTGTCATCAGGCTTGTCAGGGTCATATCTTAAAGTTTCTAATTCTATAGTATAAATTGTACATGTAGTAGAGTTACAAGAATTAAGATATGTTAGTTGTTTCATCTTTGTTGAATTGAAATGTTTCAAATGTTCTGAAGATTTTACATATGATTCAGTTTTGAAAGAACTTTGCAATAGTAATATAACACACGGAATGAAAAGGAATACACAATGTACACTTGTTATAACTATTATAACTTCAAGGTTCCTCATGATTTGATTTATTTTATTAGAAGCCTCATCTATGGCATCTATGAGTAAGAAAGCTGTATAATCTATATTCTACAAAAAAAGAAAAAAAAAAAATGGTGTAAATTACAAGAATTTCTAATGTGAGTTAAAGGTTAGCTTATCATTTCATAACCTGTATTTCAGACCTAAGTTAAGGTAACTCTTTTCATCAGTTAAGGAGTTTGGAATAGATTATTGTTTCATCAATTTTTATATAGCATTCATGTGAAACAAATATAAAATAATATGTAATACTTGGCAGCTAAGAATACATTTACAAAAATATTTGAAATAACCACTATATATACAGTGTTTTTGTCGTGCCTGTGATTAAAGGCAAAAGATTCCATCTGCATCTTCAACGTTTAGATTTTGAGGTTAAAGTTAGTTTTTTAAACATCAATAACTTTCACAGAAACTTCTTTTTGATCAAAAGACAGTAATCAGTACAAAATTATGATTTTTTTTTCATTTTTCTGTATTTTCCTGATATATTAACAGGTTTCTTTTTTGTGTCTTGTCTGAGACATAAGTCACAGTATGCACAACATAGGTATTACAATCCAGCAGAGGCAGCGCTGTAAACTATTTGTTAATCAAATCCTGAAAGCTTTATTACCATTGTCCTTGATCTCATTTTTCGTGGTTCAGCGACTGCTTAAAAATTTTGTATAGTTTTTTTATTATATGAATTTCTCACTTTTTATGAGTAATAGGATAATTATTTTTGATATGTGTGTTCCTAGGAAGGTCTTCATATATGTCAGAAAGGGTTCACCTGACCTCGACCTCATTTCATGGATCAGTGATCAAGGTTACATTTATGTGAATAGGTTCATTTTTCAAAGAGTATAAGCAATAGGTCAACTTCATTTGATGTATAGAATGATTTTAAGGTGTGCATGTCTATCTGGCAGATATCATTTGTCCTTTAACTCATTTTCATGGTTCATTGGACAATGTTAAGTTTCTATAGTTTTGTCCTCTTTTCAGATTCTATAAGTAATAGGTCAACTATATTTGATGTATAGAATAATTGTTAGGTATACATGTTTGTCTGGCAGGGTTCATCTGAACTTGACCTCATTTTCATGGTTTATTTGGTTAACATTTAGTTTTCCTGGTTAACCATTATATTTTGTACAAGGAATGATTGTAAGGTGTGCATGACTGTCTGGCATGTATCATCTGACCTTGACCTCATTTTCATGGCTATATTAGCAAAAGGTCAACTATATTTGGTGTATCAATTGTTTTTAAGCTGTACATAGATATAAGAAGATGTGGTATGTGTGCCAATGAGACAACTCTCCATCCAAGTCACAATTTGTAAAACGTAAACCATTATAGGTCAAAGTACAGCCTTCAACGCTGAGTCTTGGCTCACACCAAACAGCAAGCTATTAAGGGCCCCTAAAATGACTAGTGAAAACCATTCAAACAGAAAAACCAACAGTATATCTATATAAAAAATGTGCAAACGAATTTGCCCTGAACAACAGGTTCCTGACTTAGGACAGGAGATAACAAATGCAGCGGGTTTGAATGTTTTAACAGGCGCCAGCCTTCACCCTAACCTGAAACAGCAGTATAACATTACAACAAAGAAAGACACACTATAAAATATCAATTAAAATAGCTTAACTCAATTACAAAACAAGTAAACATACACTGAACGAATAAATTAGATCCATTACACATTGAATATAAATACAATATGTAAAACAATGTCAAAAAGACAACTATAACCTGGGACAAAATGGTGTTAGATAAAACAAGTATTCTGTGAGTATTGCTCCCCTACCGGTTAAAAATTCATTGTATTGGAACAAAGTTCTAACTTGATCTATAACTTGTAATGGTGTAAACTATATAAATATCAAGTCAATATCTTCAAGCATGACAAAGAAAGTGTTGAAAACTGATTATTTAAGTGAACTTTCTAAGTCCCAGGACCATAACTCTGCACAAAATCATCAGACCAGAAAAAATTTCGAACTTGATTTGTTACTTGTCATGATAAAACTATATATATATATATATCAATTTTCAAAATCAATATCTTCACGCATCACGAAAAAAAGTGTGGAAAACTGATTATTTGAGTACATTTTTTAAGTCCAAGGACCATAACTCTGCACAAAATCATTAGATTGGAACAAAATTCAAACTTGAACTGTAACTTGTCATGATAAAACAATATACCAATTATCAAATCAATATCTTTAAGAATGACTAAAAAAGTGCGGAAAACTGATTATCTTAGTGAATTTTCAAAGTCAAAAGGACCATAACTCAGCACAAAATCATCAAACTGAAACAAAATTGGAACTTGATCTGTAACTTGTCATGATAAAACAATACACCAAACATCAAATCAATATCTTCAAGCATGAAGAAAAAAATTGCGAAAAACTGCTTTGCTGGACTGACGGATGGACAGACAGAAGGAGTGCAAACCTAAAGTCCCTTCGACTTGGTCGGTAGGGGACTTATAACTTAAATAGGTTACTATAAATAAAATAATTTTGTTGTTAGTACAGAAATATTTTTTATGCCCCTGCCGTAGAGGAGGGGGCATTAAGTTTTACCCTTGTCCGTACGTCCGTCCGTACGACCCAAAGTTGGTTTCCGTTCTATAACTTTAGTTTGCCTCAACCAAATTTTATTAAACTTATACACAATGCTTATTACCACAAAACACAGATCAAGTTTGAATTTTCGTGGCGTCACTATAACTGTTCTAGAGTTATGCCCCTTTACAAATGGAAAAATTGCTGAATTTTTCGTTTCCGTTCTCTAACTTTAGTTTGCCTCAACCAAATGTTATGAAACTTATACACAATGCTTATTACCACAAAACACAGATCAAATTCGAAATTGGGTGGCGTCACTTTTACCGTTCTTCAGTTATGTCCCTTTATAACTTTATATGATATGCAAGCAGGGGCATCATCTGTGTCCCATGCACACATTTTTGTTGTTCATAATACGAAAACAGAATTGAAAATGTATGGTAATACTAAACATTTATCAAAGGTGGTACATATAAAAAGTAGTGAGACAAGATATAACACAAAACAAGCAAACATTGAATAACAAAAATGCACTACAAATTGTGTCCCCTACCGGTAAAAAAATTCATTGTACTGGAACAAAATGCTAACTTGATCTATAACTTGTCATGGTATAAACTATATAACAAGTATCTATGATGAAAAAAAGTGTGGAAAACTGATTATTTAAGTGAATTTTTTAAGTCCAAGGATCAAAACTAATCAGGCAGGAATTTTTTTTTAACTTGATCTGTAACTTGTCATGATTATTAATAACTATATACCAATTATCAAATCAATATCTTCAAGCATGATGGAAAAAAGTGTGGAAAACTGATTATTTGAGTGAATTTTCTAAGTCAGAGGACCATAACTCTGCACAAAATCATAAGACTGTAACAAAATTCATACTTGATTTGTAACTTGTCATGATAAAACAATATACCAAATATCAAATCAATATCTTCAAGCACTAAGAAATAAAGTGTGGAAAACTGATTTGCTGGACTGACAAATCAGACAGACAGACAGAGTGCAAACCTAAAGTCCACTTCAGGTAGGGGACTTTAAATAAAAAATCATGTATCAGAGACTAATGTCTGTTCGACACAAGTTTATATAACCTTTGTGTCATGGATCATTGATAATGTTTAGTTTATATGTTACTTGTAGTAAAACTCTTATCTTTAATTCTGTCAACATTAAATCCATTACAATCAGTAAAGCAGGCATGAAATTTCAGCATGTACACTCTTGTCTGCAGTTATTTAGAAACAATCTAAAGTTAAAAGTTTTTAGACATCTATAATTTGTCAAAACTTGGACAGAAGCCTTTGATTAGCAAATGAAAGTATCCAGATCAAACTTTGTAAATATTTTCTCCATTTTGCCATATTTAACTGATAAATGGACTTTGGTTTTTTTTGTTTTGCAATTAAGGTTTACATAGTCTTGGGTTTTTAAAAAAGTCTTTTATAAATCAATAACTTTGTCAAATGTTCATAAAATGTGTAATAACACTTGCACAAAAACTTCTTCTTGACAATTTATATCATCTGAAATGAAAGTTGGAATTTTTTTGTTCAGTACTTTAAAATTATAATAAGGTTTTTGCAGTCTTTTTGCACTTTTACACGGACAGCAGCAATCACAGGCATGACACTAGGTTCCACAGAACACTTTACAAATTTTCCTCTCAATAATCTTCTTTTTGCCAAATTAGAGAAATATTTCTTCATATTATATGTAACTATAGGATATTTTGGGTATATGTCAATGAGACCATCCTAACTACAAAAATAACCAAAAGACATATAGAGTGCTACACATACAGTATTCAACAACAGACAAGTGTCAACACAATATATCTAAACTCGAAAATTATCCCAAGTCTATATAAAAGTTACAGAAATTAGTAAGAGATCTACCATTAATACCCAATTCTCAATATAAGTTATCTACGTTCATATCCATAGATATGGATATTTTAACACCCTGAAGTATCCAAGTACATCCTGAGGCGAAGCCGAAGGGTGTACAGGGTACTGAAGGGTGTTAAAATATCCATATCTACGGATATGAACGTAGATAACAAATTTATCCCCGGTCTTAGTCCAAATCTTGCAATTTTTAGAGAAATTCAACCACAACTTGAAAGCAAAGTTTTTTTTCATTTTTTAAAAATCTTTTATTGAAATTTGGGAATTTGACATATTTTTAACAGGGTGTAGGGTACTACCTTTGGTAGAACCCTACAGGTAGTCAAATATAAGACGTTTTTAATCCAGAGACAGAGAAACGGGAATGGGTCGCTCAATATTGTGAGAGTTACATCATAGACGGTGTGACGTCAATGTGGGTCATTTGCATAGCTAGGCCAGTAGTCCCATTCATTGACAATGTGGCAGCCAAGTAATGCATTAACTAAAATGAGTGCAAATGATCGATATAATAAGATAAAATCGTAAGTTGATTAAATATTTAATTACAGACATCATCCATAATCTACAGAATTCGATATTTCACAAGGAACAACCATGACACTAAGAAAAACGTGCGTGATGTTCCCCGTTGTAATGGGTAGCAACGTCCGGGTATATGGGTTAGCAACACCCAGGGGCTATGGGTTTTGTAACGACGTGCATTAACCAATCAAATTCCTAGAAATATACTAAGCCGGGGATAATATAAATTATAACATGTTTATGTATATTATATATTGAACATATTTATAAGAATGAAAAAAAGAAACCAATTGTTTCTAGCCATTATTCACAAACTCTAAATAAAGGATGATCATGTGTCTTACCTTGTTAATTCTTTTTTGATCTTCATAATAATACCCTTTCTCAAATCTATAATCAAATAAGGTAAAATGGTTGGTCAGATCATATATGTAACTATTTGGTTAAAACAAAGTTGGTTAGTACAATCAGGTAGTTTTGTATTTTATTACCTGGATCTATTTATAGAGATATGTCTATACAGATTAATAATATTTAAAAAGTTATTTGAATTTGATAGTCTCTTCTTGTAGGTTATCTATAAGTAGCTATCTTTAGGTGGCAGAAACCAGTTATTTTACAATAAATCTTTAGAATTTCATGGATTTATGATTTAATTTTCTTGAAAAATCATTCAAGCTTATATACAGAAAACCTTTAAATTTGGGTGTCTGTCCAGCATGGAGATTTTAAAATTTATAAATGCATTGCAAATAAGGCAAAAAATGTGATGCTCTGATACAAATCACCTTCAGACTCCTGCTAATAGCAGACAAGAATTTTAGGCAAAATTCAAGAGATAAATGATATTCAATGAATTAGAGCCTTGTCCCCACATAATCCTTACCATAAAAATCTCAAGATATTTTTGTTTACATAAAACTGAATTTTTTCCCCACTTTGATTGGATGCCGTCAAGTGAGGAGACCACAATTTTGACTTCTGATTGGACCCGTATGTGAAAGAAATCCCCAACCTGTGTATGCAACTACTTACTAGCCTAGTATAATAGCCTAGAATTTACATTCATTTATTTTTTCAGTCCACATGATGCAATTATATACCTCATTGCTTAACTATAACAACATTTCTGCGTGGGACACATGTTCTGGTACACCAAAACTGGTACCTGCCACCTTAGGAGAAAAAATAATAGGTCATACCAGCTAAATATTCATCAATTAAATTGCACTGAAGTAACATTATTAAAGAATACAATAGTGCATTGAAATGTAATAGCAAATTCAATCCGGTAGTAAAGTTTGTCCACCAGACTTTTGTGCCGAGTTAATCAAGTCTGTGACCATAATTTTACTAGGAATGTAGGTCCCTGGATGCATTTTCCTACGAAAATGAGTCCATAGCTAGTAAATTTGTCTGGCACTAACATTTTCCTAGGAAAAGTTTTATATATTCGGATTTTTGTTTTTTACTATGAAAAAGGTCCCTTTAAAATTTTATTTCTCTTGACATTCTTTAAATTATTCAATATTAAAATTAAGAAAGAAGTCTAAAGGACTATTTGTAATTATGTACATCATTAGAGTCTGTGATATCAATTTTCCTGAGGGAAAAAAAGTCTGTTAAATTAGTAAAAACTCAACCATATTTTAATAAAAATGTGAAATATTAAATATAATGCACAACTGTTCAACAATTTAAAAACATAAAAATTGAAAATTCCATTTTAAACATGTTAATTATTTCTTTCATTACAAAATTACCCATAAAAATAAAGGACATGGACGTTTTAAACCTTGAGAATATTAATGCCCTGATCATATGCATGCATGAATTCCTAGGAAAATTATTTGGGGCACATAAGTTTTATCAAAAGATTCATGCAAAACTGTAATACAACATGTTACATGTAAAAGATTTCTTTTATTAAACATTTACCTAGTCCAATAATGGACATGGACATTTTTACCTAGGAATAGTGATGATATGGACATAAATTCCTAGGAAAATTAGGGTGGGGGACATACATTACTGACATTTGACTTAGTACACTAGTAAATTCTGTAACCATAGACTTTTTATATACTGGTAATATTTTTACCCCAGACACTTTTCACCAGGACTAATTTACCAGTTTCTCGAACACATTGAAGAAAAAAAACAAACCAGATATGTTATAAAGGTGAAAAACTACAAATGTATCTTGATAAAATATCAGCAAGCATAGCTGAATCTCAATATTGATTTTTAACTCTTTTTTTTCTTATAATTTATGGTAAAGCATGATAAATGCAGGATATCCAATTACATTCGATTACACCTTGGCCAAGTGTATTTAGTACATATGATGCATTAAAACACATACTTTCAGTTTGATATATTAAGTAATATTTATATCAACTTTACAAAAGGTGATCAGTAAGAAAGTCATTTTTAGACTCATACTTTCCCTTTGCCATGTTTGAAGCCATTAAAGAATTGAAAATAGACATCAATTGTCTTTAGAACCAATTATATTAACTAGTAGAAACTTGAGATATTTGTAGATTTGATTCATGTTAATTAGAAATTATTTGCTGTACATGTACTTACATTACTTGTTTTACATGTATGTATTATGCACTGGGTATTTTTTTTTATTGTTAGCCTAAGATATATTCATAATTACTACTGAGTGGAAGTTGCTAATAGAGATACCAGCCACATATACCAGTAGCACAATATAAATTACAAAGTTATGACACCTAAAGTATGCATAATTTCTATGGAAATGTCATTTTGATCCAATTGGTCATAATTTATAATAGTTTTTTGCATAGATAACTGGCTCCATCATCTAATGTAGAAAATTGTTTGTTCTATGGATTCAATATAAACCTTTGCACCTTTCGCACACTATCATCATGTTTCCGCAACATATCTAAAATAAGCGGATTTTAGAAAAACTTTGTTTAACATAGCATTTAGGCTTTTGAAAAAAGAATAACCAAAATGTAGCCTTTTTGATACTAATGATAACATTACAAACTGTTTGTGTTACTTTTTCTCACAGCCAATATGACATACTGTGCATCTATGATCAGGGAACAAGAATTGGACATGATATCTCTTTTTTTAATTCTGTCCATTACATTATGCTATACATTGAGGCAACAGCTAGAATATAGCTGTCCCTTTTACACTTAGTACTGAAATGATCAATATGAAATATGATACATTATTTTATAATCTTATTTTCAGGATGACCACAACTACATAGCTAGACATAGAGATAAGGTAGTCAAGATAATCATGACATCTGCTGTTTGTATTTTTTAATTTAGATTTTTCTAGATTTTCAGGAAGGCGTCAAAGCAAAAATTGAAATAGTTTTTTTGTAGATGTAATAATTTATTTGACTAAGAGTATAAGTTTACTATCTCAGTTAAAGATGTTGATTGGGAAAATTGAATACCCAGATAGTCTTAATAGCACTAATATTTTTCTTCTTTTTTTTCAGGCCCCCTCCACTGTGTGGTGCTGTACCTGCAGACAACAATTACATAGCCAAACCAGGAGATAAGGTTGCTGCCAGAGTGAGGTCAGATGATGAGGAGAATTGGATCTTGGCAGAGGTTGTGTCCTTCAACGCATCAGCCAATAAATATGATGTGGATGACATTGATGCTGATGAAGGAAAAGAGTATGTTCCCCTTGTACTAAATATTGTTTCGTCTCTTTCTATGTGCAAATATTTCTATGCAATTCATATTCTCATTTAATTATTTGTTCCTATTGTATTTCTATTTATAGAATAGGGTGTTGTAAATAGTGATCCATTTCTTTCCTATATTCAATTGTTCTTGAGACTGAATTTCAGTGAACTTCTTATATTATTTTTAAAATGCTGAGCTTTTTTGCTGTTAAGCCTCAAGTTACAAATAAACCTAAAAATTCCAATGTCAGGTATCTATTCGAATATCACAATCTACCTTATTGTCAAATTTCATTGAAATAAAATAATAGCTGAGAAATGGACCTTAACACAAAAACTGAACTTAGGTTAGAATGGCCTAATTTTTAGTGAACCCTAATGCACAAATGTTTTCTGAGTCCCACCATTTCAGATTATTGAAAAACAGTGTTTTGAATAATTTTTCTACACAAAGAAGTCTTAGCACAAGATAAAAATTAAAAAAAAAATGTATAGGGGATATTTGATAACATAATCATGATAAAAAAAGAATTCTCATAAAAAAGATTAACAAAAACTGCACCATGATATTGAAAGAAACAAGCCGATGGCATTTGTAATGACAAATTTTGGTTAGACAACTAGATGTATAAAGGTTTTCATTGTTCCAGAATTCGATATTCTCCAGAGACTTGGCGTAGTGGGATTTCTACAATTTGTTTTTGTCGAGCCTGCGACTTTTGTCGCAGAAAGCTCGACATAGGGATAGTGATCCGGCGGCGGCGGCGTTAGCTAACTTCTTAAAAGCTTTATATTTTAGAAGGTGGAAGAGCTGGATGCTTCGTACTTTGTATATGGATGCCTCATGTTACGAAGTTTCCGTCAGTCACATGTCCAATGTCCTTGACCTCATTTTCATGGTTCAGTGACTACTTGAAAAAAAAGTTAAGATTTTTTGTAATGTTAAATTCTCTCTTATTATAAGTAATAGGATAACTATATTTGGTATGTGCGTACCTTGCAAGGTCCTCATGCCTGTCAGACAGTTTTCACTTGACCTCGACCTCATTTCATGGATCAGTGAACAAGGTTAAGTTTTGGTGGTCAAGTCCATATCTCAGATACTATAAGCAATAGGTCTAGTATATTCGGTGTATGGAAGGACTGTAAGGTGTACATGTCCAACTGGCAGGTGTCATCTGACCTTGACCTCATTTTCATGGTTCAGTGGATATAGTTAAGTTTTTGTGTTTTGGTCTGTTTTTCTTATACTGTATGCAATAGGTCTACTATATTTGGTGTATGGAATGATTGTAAGGTGTACATGTCTAGCTGGCAGGTGTCATCTGACCTTGACCTCATTTTCATGGTTCAGTGGTCAAAGTTAAGTTTTTGAGTTTTGGTCTTTTTTTCTAATACTATATGCAATAGTTCAACTATATTTGGTGTATGGAAATATTTTATGATCTATATGTCAGTCATGCAGGTTTTATTTGACCTTGACCTCATTTTCATGGTTCAGTGGTTATAGTTAAGTTTTTGTGTTTTGGTCTGTTTTTTCTTATACTGTATGCAATAGGTCTACTATATTTGGTGTATGGAATGATTGTAAGGTTTACATGTCTAGCTGGCAGGTGTCTTCTGACCTTGACCTCATTTTCATGGTTCAGTGGTCAAAGTTAAGTTTTTGAGTTTTGGTCTTTTTTTCTAATACTATATGCAATAGTTCAACTATATTTGGTGTATGGAAATATTTTATAATCTATATGTCAGTCACACAGGTTTAATTTTACCTTGACCTCATTTTCAAGGTTCATTGATCAGTGTTAAGTTATCGTGTTTTGGTCTGTTTTCTTAAACTATAAGCAATAGGTCAACTATATTTGTTGTATGGAAGAATTGTTAGCTGTACATGCCTGCCTAGCATGGTTCATCTGACCTTGACCTCATTTTCATGGTTCATTGGTCAATGTTTAGTTTACTTGGTTAATGTTAAGTTTATGTGACAGTTGTAATAAAGCTTTATATTTAGGACTATCAACATAATATCAATGATTAGTAAAGAAGGCGAGACATTTCAGCGTGTGCACTCTTGTAGATACTTTTATAATATTTACCAAAAAATCAACAGGGATTTTTTCTTTGTACATGATTAATATTTATAAGGGACTTGTTTCCTTTATGTTCTTCACTTTCTTTATCCATGTATTCACTTACATGATTCTTTTGTGGTTTTTAAAGTTTAAATGTAACGATAGATAAAACAGTTAGAGATTTGTTTTGGAGTAACTGGTTGTGTCTTTATTTTAAATGTGAAAAATATCCAGTTCTAAATGTAAGAAAATTATATATTATACTCAATAAACCAGTTTCATAAAATATTTCTCTTATGTTAAATAAAAGCATCAGTCATTAGTAATTTACATGATTAATATACTAAATAGCAAAAGAAATGGACAATTTTTACATAAATTAACATATATTTCTGTTACAGAAGACACACATTGAGTAAACGAAGAATAGTAGCACTACCAATATGGAAAGCTAATCCTGAGACAGATCCTGCTGCTTTGTTTGGTAAAGGATCTGTAAGTACAAATGGGAATAGTCAAAATTTAACATACCGTACTCAATTTCTGTATAGATGTACGTGAGTCTTCCATTAAAGATACAAATCTCCTTTAATCACATGATACACTGTGTGTTATCTTTCATTCTTCATCAACCGAACACTACCTTTGTTGTATCGTGGTAGCATGCTTGTCTTGAGTTAGGGGTCAAGGGTTCGATTCTAGGCCTTGTCAAACAAAAGACTTCTATTGGTATTTCCTACTTCTCTCCTTAGCACCCTGTATAAGGAGTAAGAGCAAACACTGAACAGCTAGGAGTCAGCATAATGTGTCTGTGTAGGATGACATGTCTTCCTGTGGACTGTTGCCTTGAGAACTAGCTTGTTTAAATTCCACTCAAGAGTGTCTGTCTAGTACAAAGCAGGGTTCATATTCATATTGCACTTGCATGTTCTCATCCTGAATAGACATTCAATTTGCCACTAGATGATAAACAGTCATCCATCACCTTAAACAACATTTGTAACAATAAAAGTTGATTTATGGTTAAGTCAGCTTACAATGAAGTTGTGTTTATATTAGGGATGTCAACGAGTACTCAAGTACTCGAGTATCGCTTGGTAGTACTGAGTATCGAATACTAAAATTATACTTGACTAATCAGTTTTTGTTAAAATGTTGCCTTCTTAAAGAAATTTTTTTTTTTTATAAAGAAATTAAATATTAATCAAAATTAAAATGCACTTCGAATATTGGATTTAATTATCATTTAAAATTCCTTCGAACAGATGTTGGCTACAAGAGCACCTGTCCAAGGCTTACACTTTTAGCTAATCGTGTCTTAGTCATTACAACATCTCTGTATCGTCAGAGCAAATATTTTCAACAGCAGGACTGTTAGATATGTAACAAAGTTGAGAAATCGACTCGTCCCAGAAAAAGTTGAAAAGATAATATTTCTAAATCAGAAAAAATTAGTTGCACCCTGTCTCGACCCTTAAAGCATCAGTGAGTTCTAATCATCATTCCCTTTGTTGATCATTTAATATGTTTTTGTACGATTTACAAATACTGATGTTTGAGTAAACATTTTTCTATAGATGTTTATTAATGAATTGGTTAGCTTATTGCAAGTTTACTGATTAGTGCATGTAGTAAATGAGCTATTAGTTATGGCATACAATTCCTTGGAATATTATCTAGTCTTATAGCTAGATAATAATGTTGAGGGTTCTACGTCCTTAAAACAACGACCCACAATACGTAAATTGGGTTTATTTTTTTTCCATTTTGTAGATGTTTTTTTTTTGAGCGAGTACTCAAGTATCGCTCGGTAAATCTAACGGGTCACTTGATTAGTAAATCTTCACCGAGTTGACATCCCTAGTTTATATAATGAAAACTTTATTAGTTATATACCAAAATATGGTTTTTAGCACAATTTAACAGTTTACAAAACATGGACATATAAAAGTGTGTGCGGGGCATTGTATCCTTTGAACACTTATTCTTATTGTTTTAAATTTTCAGTTGGTGCTGGCATTATATCCACAGACTACTTGTTTCTACAGAGCACTGATACATGAACCACCAAAGAAGGTAAGAATTCTTGTTGAGATCAAAATTAATTATTGTGAAGATAACAAAATTGGAATGTATAAAACTGGAAAAAGAAAGACTTTGTGCTAGAAAGTAGTTATAGAATAGAAACAGGAAATGTGTCAAAAAGACAACCCCGAACAAACAGCATAAAACAGCCCAAGGCCACCAATGGGTCTTCTACACTGGGAGAAAATCCCACACTTGGAGGCATGCTTCAGATGGCCCCTAAACAATAATGTATACTAGTTCAGCAAAATGGATGCCACACTAAACTCCGAAACATATTATTATGAACCAAAATTATAAAAATTGTAAAGTCTACCTTATGAAGTTATTTGCCAAAAAATAAGATACAGAATAAAATGAGATATTCAAAAATTAGTTTTGACTTTAATTCACAATATTTATGCCCCCACCGTAGCGGAGGGGGCATTAAGTTTTACCCTTGTCCGTCTGTATGTACGTCCCAAAAAGTGTTTCCGTTCTCTAACTTTAGTTTGCCTCAACCAAATGTTATGAAACTTATACACAATGCTTATTACCACAAAACTAAGATCAAGTACAAATTTGGGTAGCGTCACTTTAACTGTTCTTGAGTTATGTCCCTTTATAACATTATATGCAAGCGGGGGCATCATCTGTGTCCCATGGACACATTCCCCATTTATTTCTATTCTACTTATCCTGTTACTAGTTTCAGTCTACAAATATGAATTATGAAATATAAGGTGGCTAAAATGTCACACATGGAAATTTTCTGTGAACTGCCAATAAATTAAGATGATTTTATGTAGTTTTCTATAGAGCTAAATGTAAGTGTTAAATATCCAACACAATTATTTGAACAGAGGATTGAAGCATGCTGCCTTTTACCACAATTATCAAGAGAGATGGATTGCTCATATGTATTACTATCAGTAAATTTGACCCCTGTCTCATTGGACACTTTCTTTTTTTTTATCACTTCTGTGCAATCATTACTCTGTTGATGGTGTTGGATTGGTGTTTAACTTCCAGTGCAATTATTACAGGCATATAAGGACAGTTAGTTAATTTGGTCTAACATTCTTGCATTTAGTCAATTTTGCTTTAACTTTTTAAATGTAATGCAAAATTGTTAGATCATTGAAAATGAGCAAAGGCTTAAAAGTTTAGCCCAAAAATGTTATTCTATAAATTGTGTTTCATAAACATATCAATATATGTCAAATATCTATTTGGGTTACAGCCTTTGCTGTTATCTACACAGGCAAATTTTGTTCACGTGAATTTCACGTGAGTCTCATTTCACGTGAAATTCACGTAAAATTCACGTGAGTTTCATGTGAAAAATTTCACGTGAGTTTCATGTATAAGCTCGTTTGAGGTGAATCTCACGTGAAAAATTTCATGTGAAATTCACGTGATTTTCACGTGAAATTTACGTGAACAAAATTTGCCTGTGTATTCGGCCAAAAAAATATGTGTAAAATTACCATTTTTGGTCAAACATTTCAATTTCAACATGTTTATGCTTCATATATGGTGACATCACAAATGACCTTACTGCATAAAGCGTTCAGATTATCATTATATTAACCAGTTCATTTATCAATAAAATTAAAATAATTATTTAATCTTGAATAAGTTTAATATTTTACAATTTCATAGGACAAATAATGGCTCTTAACATACCTCCTCCTTTGTTTTACTTGTAAATGATTTGTTAACTATAATTTCAGCAAGGAGATGAATACTCGGTACTATTTGAAGATACATCCTACCCTGATGGGTATTCCCCTCCACTGATGGTTGCTCAAAGATATGTCATTCTGTGTAAAGAGGATAAGAAGAAATGAATAGTGCTATGTCATCAAAATAGTGTATTCTGGGAGTTTATATTTCTCAGCTGCAATATTTTTGCAGTAAAATATGTAAACTTTGAAACTGCATGTATGTTTATCTCAAAATTAAAAGATACCTATCAAATTAAATGCTTACATGTTTTCAATGTATATTTTGAACAATTAGTCATTGTTGCTTTAAGCAGTATCTTCAGAATATAAAGGGTGAGGAAAATGGTATGTGAGTGATAGCATACTGTGTTTTTGTTTACTTCATTGTTTTTATAGAATATTATTAAGGACTGTTTATATTGTTATTAAACATTCATATATAAATGAAGGAGATATTGTATGATTGTTAATGAACTCTATATCATCTTTTTCAAGGGGTGGGTTACACTTTATATATTCCATACATTGAAGCAATTTCAAAATTCATTGACATTCTGAACAGTTGTTTTAGGAAACCCACTCATATATGAGATTTCTTAATGCCAACCCTAGGGGCCACATACGGCAGATATAATAGGCCTCAGCTAATCTTAGTACTTGTAGGTGTATCAATTTATGTTATAAATATATTAATGTATTTTTTTGTTTCCCCAATAGATAATAATTATCTGGCTTGAATTATTTTTGTTGCCTCTGTACATTATTTATCTGAACAGCTACTATTTAAACTGATTGATAATATTGCATCAAATTTGAAAGTCCCATAACTCTAGAATGTCAAACAAAAAAAATTATATAATTAAAAGCTAGTCTATATTCACCAATCCCAATAACAGCGTCAAGTTTGTAGTAATTTGGTCCACAAATATCAAAGCCAGTGCATGACATTTAAAAATTGACATTTAAAAATTGACATTTAAAAATACTTTTAAATTATCTGACGGTCAAAGTCCCATAACTCTATAATGACATATCAGAATATTTTTTTAGTTGAACTGTGTGTCAAGTTCACCCATTCCAGCAATTATGTAAAGTTTCCTGTAAATCAAACCAAGCAAACTCAAGTTATGAAACATCATGTGAAATTTTTTTTTAAATCTGACAAAAGTTCCATAACTCTGTAACGACAAACCAAAAAATTTAGAAAATCAAAAGGGAGCTGCCTTTTATCAATTCCAACAATACTGCAAAGTTTTGAGGAAATCTATCAGGTGTACTGGAGTTTAAGCAGGATATGTGAAAAATTGCCTTAAATCTAAACAGTTAATGTGGAATGACAAAAATTTCAAAATCAAAAGTGAGCTTTCTTTCGTCATTCCTAAGTTCTGTTCAAATTACATGAGAATTGGTCAAAGCAAATTTGTGTAGGAGTTATTACATATACCCTTAATTCCCTGAAAAAATAACATTTTTTGCGATTATTTTAGAATCATCCACCTTAAAAGGAGTAAGAACATGAAGGGTTAAATTGGCCCTAAGAATTTTGATGTTTTTTTTAATTTGGCCAAAATACTACAAATTTCACATAGAAATAGTTGTCATAAAACTATTAATACAAAATAACTTTTTTTGGCACATCACATTAAAAATGATGAAGAAATTACCCCTCAAGTATGCATTAATTAGTGTTGTAACGTCAGTTATGGTCAAATTTTCAACAATTCTTAACAGTTTTTAACATAATTTACTTTGGCTGCCTTCCCGGATCAAGAATGTTTTCGTGTCAAGGTATTCAATATTGTCATTGGCAACAGATCATTTTGGATCCTAGGTTGCGGCCAAGGATTTCCTAAAGCTTTTCGCTCCGAAAAATGCACAAGATCATTGTTTTTTGACAGTATATCCAAAATGTGCTGAATTTTGAAGCCTAAAATGTACTCTAATGAAGAGATTTGTTTAACCTAGTAGTAAGGCTTTTGAAATAGATCCATTTAAGAACCAAATTATGATCATTTTGATATTTTATGATAAAGTTGAATTTCAAGGCCATATTTCACTTAGTTCATATATTAAAGTGAACCTTGTCCTTTAACTTTTGACATTTTCCCATTTAATAGCTGAGTGTGCCTTACATTTAAAATGTGATTTTTTTCCCTCAAACAGTATCTTGAGAACTGCTTTCTGTATTTTGGTTAAGATTTTCTAACAAATATATGGATCAGATAGATTTGTTAATATTTTCTCCTTAAGCCCCCTTATCTTTCAAACATGTTTTTATTTCAGGCAAAAACTAAATAAAATTGTTCTCCTTGTATTCAAATACATGTACTGTATTCAGTTGTATAAACAAAAGACATTTTCATTAATTTTTTCGTATCATTTTAGTTTGTTTCATCATTTCTCATTTGCATTTTTCATTAATTTCAATTCATGTAATTTTTAATCTATTTTATTTATCAATAAAGTTACTTATTTTATTTTGTTCAAGTTATAATTGTTTTGTATTAATAATCTTGTTACAAAATGTCTGCACATTATGTAGTTCTGTAATAGTTTTTATATCTGTACCAAGTACAAGATATTGTAACATGTATTGTTGGAAAATAAAATTAAAATAACTATTTCATTTTTGTACACTTGGATATATTGTGCTGTCATAACTGAATGACATTTAATGAAATGTTTGCATGATAAATTCAAGTTGCCTGCCAAAGATAATATTGATTTGAAGATCAGCATAGTTCACGTATGATTCAGTGGTGATAATGGAAGGATTCTTATTGTCCAGTGGCAAATATTATATTCATGTTCAGGTTTTCACTTACAAGGTAATAGTCTGAAAGGGCTGTTCCAAAATTGATCTTGTAGGGGGAGATGGGAGGGACTCTGTTATAGATAATGCATATTTTAAGGTTTTTCTTGTCGAATAACACACCGAGGGGTGTCAGGACTGATCAAATGAAAGACCGACCGTAGGGAGATCTTGATCTTTCTTTGGGCAATCCTGACACCCCGAGGTGTGCTATACGACAAGAAAAACCTTAAAATATGCATTATCTGATTTATATACCACCAAAAAAATACTATTTTCTGCAAAGATTTGCAGGATTTGCATCCTATTTTTACAACCACACTAAATGGGATATTCTTTTTAGATACAATTTGGTTTTAATATGCCCTACGGCTCATTGATAATGTGAAATACAACACACTTATTATAATCTAGATATAAACTTTAGAAACCATTATCCAGTTACAATAAAAATATTTCTGTGACTGCATGAAGCAAGACACAAATGAATTGTTACGGTGTATAAAAAAAAACAAGTCACTTTGTAAGTAATTTATTGTATCAACTAAGTTTATGAAAGGGGGATGGTATTATTTTAAAAAAAAAATCAACTTTTTATCGCGGAAAGCAGATTATGTTTTCAACAATTTTCAAACTATTGCGAATAATTGTTTTCTCTCTTTTGTTTGGCAATACATTTGTTAAAACTGAAAATCATGATTGAATATTATACCCCCACAAACCCAATTGTAAAGTATGTGGTTGTATTTCTACAGAAAATAAGAATATTTGGTCATTTGATCATTTGATGGAGTAAAAGGTATAATAGATAGATGTAAAAAGTTAAGAACTGGCTTGAAGAGTGCAAAAAATCGAAATAAATGTACATATAACACGAAAAATTAATATCCATAGGTAAAAGTATGATTTCCACTACAGCGTGAATCAATAAGATTTTCAAAATCCACACGAATGTGTTAAATCTGGCTTGTTTTAAAAGTTTTGCATTATTTAATTCATCTCGCATAATGGTCCTTAATTGTAGCTATAAATTAGCAAAACTTCACATTATTTATTTTGAAAGTTAAAATGTGCGTCAACGACGATTTTTGTTATTTCAGTCTAATAAACACAGGAAACTTTAAGGATTGTTTCTGCCTTAAACCTATCAAAGTTGGAAAATTAAAAAATTAAACCCCAATTGGCAACAACACACGATAACTATCAAACCAATTACATGTTTAGGTACATTATAATTTGCATTTTAATCAGGGAAAATAATGACCTAACACAGGTCATTATTTTATGCCTTGAAGCAAATTTCATTGAAACTTGGTATCGTCTGGGTTGATTCTTTAAAAGGAAGACCTATCGTTCTGAAAGAAAATAAATCCATATAGGTATATTATATTAAATAATGATGGTTTTGTGCATTTTGTCAATTACTTTATCCTTTCCCATATTCATTATAATAAGAGAAGATCTCAAGTTTTGGAGAATTTGAAGAGTCTATTTGTTTTTGGCAAGTTGGGTCAAATTTGTGATGTAATAAGAACCTGTTGATATTGCAAAATTTTTTTCAGTGGTTCACAAGTAGAAGTTCCATATGTTTAAAATGATAACATAAAGTCCGGTTAAAAACATTTACAAAATAACATTTGTAAACAGGTATCAGTTGGCTATGGTAATGTGTTTTCAACAATCTAACTTTCACTGTGGTGTCATTGTAATTGATTGATTTTTTGTCTTTCAATGCCACTTTCAAAGCACTTTTTCTCAGCCAGTTTTTATTGGTGGATGAAGCCAGAGTGCTGGAGAGCCAGAGTGCCAGACCAGCATCATTATGCATATTTGCATAAAGAAAACTAATATCATATTGAGGGTGATCAATACTATCTGGTATTGTGGAGGTATAGTTTCTTGTCATATAAAAAGATTTTTCCTTCAATGTCTAGAAATGTGAACAAATTCCTAATCCAAATTGCTACACAAACATTGTCTAAATTGTGAGTTATCCATAAGCTTGGTAACAAACCAGGTTTTAGATTTTGATTCTTCAGATACCTAAATTTGTTAAATTTTACCAAGAGAAAGCCAGTTTAAACAGCATAGAATATTCTTGTTTCTAACAATGTATATACACAATCTTGTGAATTAAGATGAGGTATATATATTGTCATAGAGAGAGAAAACCAACACAAAAGCTTTCAAGAATAATAAATATACCGGTACATAAAATATGACATTACATTTTATTTTCATCATGAAAAAACATATTTGTTTCTACTATGTAAAAAAATACTCTTAACAAATAATACAATAAATAACAAGGATCCAGGAAGGTAGTCTTCCGATGTAATCCATATAATAACACAAATCAATCAACACATCTATGATTTTACAAGTAGACAGTTTGAACCTTAGTCAATCTGATTGTAACTTTGCTTTAAAATTTTCACATTAGTCATGGTTGGTCATGATTTCTTACACCTTTTCTGTAAAACAATGCTTGGCACATTTCAAAAAGAAGTGTTCAGTATCTTCTATGGCTCAGGTCCTTCGTCTACATCTTCATCTGGTGCACACTACAAAATATAGAATTTTAAACAAATTGGAGAATGTATGTTTACCTCTAGATGTCTTTTGGATACTGTGGATTCATTAATATTTGTTGGATACCAATTTTCGTGGATTTCGTGGGTACAGGTGAACCACGAAATTAAATGTTCAACGAATGACAAATTTTCTATAGGCTTGTATGCAGACTTCAGCAAAACCATGAAATCAAATATCCACGAACATGCAAGTTTTCCCTAATCCACGAAAATTGGTACCCACAAAAATAAATGAATCCACAGTATTCTGTCATTCGGTTGCTGTTTCAATGGCATATACCATCATTTATTTATTATTCATACGAATCAAAATTTTGTCTCCTTTTGGAATAGTTCAATTAATTTCACTACAGCTTCTCCTCTTCAGGTCCGAGGACACAGTTATCGTCCTTTGATTTTCATTGTCTACAAATATAGTCCCTAGTTTGGACAGTGTATAGATTGCCAATTTTTTTCATACACTTACAAAATTTATTTATTTATATTTCATGCATGAAATATTAAGTAGGGAGATGAAATTACATGTTAAAAAAATTTGGGTGATGAATTTTTTTTGTCAAGATTTGGTGAAGTTAAAAAAGGTCAAAAATTAGTATGTCTGAAGCTGTCAAACTGACTTATAGACCCCCTTTACATAGAATTGTCCATATTTATGAGTAAGAGCTGGTAGACTCTTCTATAATATTGATATTATTTGTCCCAATAGTAGTACACTACACTGTAAAAATCTTTTTGGGATAAAGCAGGTGCAATTTTTATACGATCGCAAAAAAAAATATATTGGTATGACGTTGGCGTCGTCGTCCGAAGACACATTGGTTTTTGCACTCTAACTTTAGTTAAAGTGAATGGATCTTTATGAAATTTTACCTTAAGGTTCAATACCACAAAAGGAAGGTGGGGATTGATTTTGGGGGTTATGGTACCAACTGTTAAGGAATTAGGGGCCAAAAAGGGGCCAAAAAAATAAGCATTTTTGTAACTTCCAGACATAACTTGTGTGTTAGTGTATGGATCTCTCTGACATTGTACCACAAGGTTCCATATCACAAAGGAAATGCTGGGATTGATTTTGGGGGTAATTGCCTCCAAATTTTAGGAATTAGGGGCCAAAAAGGGGCAAAAAACAGGCATTTTTCTAGTTTCATGACAATAACTTGTGTGTAAGTGTATTGATCTCTCTGACATTGTACTACAAGGTTCCATATCACAAAGGGAATGCTGGGATTGATTTTGGGGGTAATTGCCTACAAATTTTAGGAATAAGGGGCCAAAAAGGGGCAAAAAACAAGCAGTTTTCTAGTTTCATGACAATAACTTGTGTGTAAGTATAATGATCTTTTTGAAATTGTACTACAAGGTTCCATATCACAAAGGGAAAGCTGGAATTGAGTTTGGGGGTAATTGCCCAAAACGTTTAGGAATAAGGGGCCAAAAAGGGGCCAAAAATAAGCATTTTTCTAGTTTCCAGACAATAACTTGTGTTCAAGTGTATGGATCTCTCTGAAATTGTACTGCAAGGTACCATACCACAAAGGGAAGGCTGGGATTGAGTTTGGGGGTGATGAATCATAAGGGGGTTCAAAAAATTTGGGGGGGGGGGGTTTCCTTTTTTTTCTTTAAAATTTTCCATTTTAAGTTGGTTATTTCTGATTTATATATAAAAGCAAATAATAATGATATGGTTTGAATAGGTAAATTAAAAATCTTTAAGTTCTTAGACCACATTCATTCTGTGTCAGAAACCTATGCTGTGTCAAATATTTAATTACAATCCAAATTCAGTGCTGTTTCAAGCTTGAATGTTGTGTCCATACTTGCCCCAACTGTTCAGGGTTCGACCTCTGCAGTCGTATCAAGCTGCGCCCCAGCGGAGCATTTTATTTTAATTCGAATTTATTGTTTAAAAGAAATGCACTACGAAATAACTGTGTTCTCTGGCCTTCTGTTCTTTGTATAACACATACTTTTTTAAGTGAAAATCTGAAACAGCCGATGATCAAACTTTAAGACAACAGTACCTTCACTTTCACATTATAATAAGAATAGTACACTTTTCATTTATAAAATCAAAGCATCGTTGATGTTGTGATCCAGCCATATTCATAGCTAGTCTCATATTCTTTCTGACCATACTTTTTTTTTAATTTTTTTCTCTTTTCATTTCCAATCTTACTGTAAAATTTCTATGTTATTGTCCAAAGGTAGAGAATTTCGCAAAATTGATGTAAATATAGATATATATACTGATCTTTCAATTTTAGACTGTCAGATTTTATTTTTGACAAGAATGGAAAGGAAAATCGTCAAACAAGTAATATATTTTTTATATGCCATTAATAATGACAGGTTTAATAATTTCCAGAAAGAGGCCTTATAAATGCACTTTCTCAACAATAAAAATTTTAAAAAAATAATAACTATTTTGTATCTAAATTGGTGTTCATTCTTCATTAAGAAAAAATACATTTCCTGTATTCAAATCTGAATGTACAAATACCTAATGCTGAGATATTTCCAATTACTGTTAAAAAGCAATATAATGGGATATAAATGTAAAACAAACAAATAAATTTTATTGCATAAAATGCTCAGGTAAGAGTTATGCAATTTTGTTTAAATATTTCAACCAAATTTCTGATAATTGTAACCAGAGACATATATACACAGAGATTGGCAACTCCGTGAAATCCCGTTAAAAAACGCGGCCCGGAATGAGATTCTCGTCGATAATTATTCTACAACATGTAGACGTCAGGGATGAATAACCTCGATAGCTAATCAAGAAAAGTAATAGGAAAACTTATTTCAGATCAAATAAATTCTTTTTCTAAAAAAAACTACTTGAAATAGTTGTATTTTTTTTAATGTATTTGATTGAGAAAATATTTTTTTCTTTTTTTCGGCATTTCTTTTAATTTAAAAAGTAAAATCTGGTAATGATCATGATATTACAAGAAACATTTCTTTGCTAAAGTTTGCTTCTAAATTACACAGTGAAATTATGTGTGTCCGATTTTCCGGTCATTATTTCCTTAGAGTTGTGACTGTGGATTCACAGGTGTGCGATTACGCAATTTATTGCCCTCCGATCACCTGAATTTTGCCGGAGGTGAAGTTCTAAGTGGATTATTACTTGGTAATTGTTTTTACAACTAAACAAATTCTGACATTATTTTAACCATGACCAGAACTTTATTTTAACAGAAACACTGGGCTATACTATGAATAGGGTAAACGGACAGAAAGTCACAGTACAAAAAGTCACAGGACATAAAGTCACAAATTGGATAGGACAAAAAGTCACAAATAATTTATTGACAATTGTTTGAATATATAAGAGAAAGATCTTCAAATAATATCTTTTTTTACATTTATTCATTTTTAAGTTCAGGAAATTGTTCATCAGCCTTGATAAATGAAAAATTATTAAATTTTAATCATGCAAATAATATATTTCTTGGCACCATGAAGCCATTTAAGTGCCAAACCACTTTGACATTTTGTTATCATAACAATTATTTGATCATCATTGATATTTATTGAATAAATTTTAATTACAAAGTTGCTTCTTATATTATAGTTCAATAAAAAATCAAAAAATTGTTTTTAAAATTAGTGTTTTCTTGTTCAGAGAAAAATAATCTCAAAACTGAATTGTGACTTTTCGTCCGTGACTTTTTGTCCGTGCCTTTTTGTCCTGTGACGTACTGTCCTACATTCTACTATAGTATTCAATCAGGAACAAAAATAGTCATTTAACATGTCAAAAAAAGAAATCAGAAAGCAACTTTTTTATATAAAAAAAATATGTAGCCAGTAGAATTTTGTCTCGTGGAAAACGGATTTAAATGATTAATTTTTGATTGACCTACAATTACATTATTTGTGGAACCTTAGCATGAATTTCCTAAATGAACGTACATTATGTACAGTGTTGTCGAAATCACTATTTTTGCTGTCATGAAATATTGAATATGAATCTGTCATTATTTGTAGTTTTTTATAGACTTAATATCACAGACCCTGATTAAAAACAACGTGTATCATAAGTACAGTAAAATGCTCTGCTGAACTGTAGGATTTTAATGTTCTGTTTCATAGACCACAGAAGTACTGCAACATCCTTATCTTTACTCTTTCCTATCGGGTAGTGAAACTCGAGTTTGAAATTAGAAAGATTTAAAATTGACAAGTTTTATCTGATCTTTTGTGGGTTTATGTTTCGGTGCAGTGCTATGTGGGCTGTTATTTTCTTTTCATTTGTCATCTTTTTATCTGTGTTACATGACCTTGTACTTTTTGTATTGCCCCTTGACATCTCCTGCTTCTGTTTAAACCTTTACCACTAATATCTCATCTGGTTTAAATAAAATAGTGTCTCATTCCCGGAATTTGTTATACAGGAATTCATTTTAATATCAGGTTTTTTATAAGCATATAAACTGCTTGGTCTCTTCACACAATTTATGTTTAGGACGGAATGCATCAATAGGTACATACATGTACCAGGTCACCAATATATAAGTACACGTTATGTGCTTTTGACCTCCACAAGAATTCTTAAACATTCATAGATGTGCAAAGAATATTTTTGTCGTTGGGTTGTTGTCTCATTGACATATACCTCACATTTCTGAATAGTCCTAGCAGCTGTGCCTTTTCAATTTATTGCAGAAAATATTTGCATTAACATTTTTCAAAATAGGCGAGGTGAAACAGTGATCACAGAATGAGGACATGTAAAACTGAAACAACACAACACAACAGATAAATATAAACAAGCACCATTGCTAAAGGACTGAAACAAACATAGATGATGACTAATATGAGCGACTAGTAGTGTACAAGTAGAGTGAACATTTCTTGCTTCTTATTCTACACATTTTGTCATTTCATGTAAACAATTAACTATGTTATTTTCCAAGGAGAGGAAGGAATTTGCGAAACGAAATATTTTGCCTTTAGTA